TGAATTGTATATCCTCATGCTCACTCCAGATTCAGAGATCAGGAGATGAGGTCTCTTGATATTTTGGTCAAAGAAGAAAGAGAATGTTAGCAAAGTTGACAATCTAAACAGAAACATGTAACCTTTAGGTGGAAATTAAACAAATATTTATCCTTTTATTACGACGTCAACTTACAAGCTAAGAAGGAAGACCCACTCGTTGCTTTGCAACGAGCTTTGCTCTAGTTATTATTATTATTATTATTATTATTATTTTTCTTCCTGGGTACTTTTTTGTCCGTGAGTGATCTCCGAAACTACACATCCGATTGAGATGAAACCTTTTTAGTGTTAATAGGAATGTTATGTAGATTTGCGGAACGAAGGTCATTTTGCGCGCACGCGCATGCACGTGCGTGCGCGTGCGATGCGTAAAATGACCAATATACTTGATATAGCTGTAACTTTTACATTTTTTGATGAAATGCTTTGATACTCAGAATATAAGGATATATTAATAGTGTAGACAAGATGACATGGTCAGAATGCGCATGCATGCACGTGCGCGCATGCGCATTGATTGAAATAACCAATACAATTGATATAGAATTAACTTGTACATTTTTTGATGAATTGCATTGAAACTCAGAATATAAATACATATTAGAAGTGTACACAAGAAGACTTGATCAGCGCACACATGCATGCACGTACGTGCTCGTGTGCGCGCGTGCAAAGAGTAAAATGACAGATATATTTGATATAGCTATAACTTTCATATCTTTTGATGAAATGCCTTGATACTCAGGATATCAGGATATATTAAAAGTGTAGACAAGATGACATGGTCAGAATGCACATGCATGCACATGTGCGCATGCGCAATGATTGAAATAACCAATACAAATAATATAGACTTAACTTGTACATTTTTTGATGAATTGCTTTGAAACTCAGAATATAAATATATATTAGAAGTGTACACAAGAAGACATGATCAGCGCACACATGCATGCACTTGCAAGCACGTGCGTGCGCGTGCAATGAGTAGAATGACCAATATACTTGATATAGCCCAAACTTTCATATCTTTTGATGAAATACTTTAATACGCAGAATATAAGGATATATTAAAAGTGTAGACAAGATGACATGGTCAGCGCACACATGCATGCACGTGCGTACGCGTGCAATGAGTAAAATTACCAATGTACTTGATATAACCATAACTTTTACATTTTTTAATGTAATGCTTTGATACTCAGAATATATAGACATATTACAAATGTAGACAAGACGACATTGTCAACATGCACATGCATGCACATGCGCGTGCATGCAATGCTAAAATGACCATTATACTTGATATAGCTGTAACTTTTATACTTTTTGATGAAATGCTTTGATACTCAAAATATGTAGATATGTTAATAGTGTTGACAAGATGACACGGTCATCATGGACATGCATGCACGTGCGTGCGCTTGCAATGCGTAAAATGACAGAAATACTTAATATAGCCGAATTTTTTTTATCTTTTGATGAAATTTGAATATAAAGATGTATTAAAAGTGTTGACAAGTTGACATGGTCATTTTGTACATGCATGCCCGTGCGCGCACGTGTAATGCGTAAAACAACCAATATACTTGATTGTCTTATTTAATGAAGCTTACAGGGAATAAGACACCAAAAGAAAGTTGGGGAGCGTTTGGGGAACATCTGTAACGGTCCCCGTTACAATTAATACTAGTTCTTGTTCTGCTTTACTATTCAGTGGGTAAACAAGGTCAAAATTAAAATAATAAAAAAAATTCCACTTTGATAATTCATGAATTTTTTTATGAATTTTAAGCAACTAAAAGTTTAATGCTCGTTTCTTATGTTAATTTGTTAGTTTTTTTTTTCAATAATATTTTGAAAAATTAATGAAATGTAATATCTTATTAGTTTCAAACTCAGTTTTTATTTTCACCTTGATTATGTTACCGTAGTTTAAGGTAAAAGTATCAGACAGATGTCTTAATTAGAACTTACCGATGTTCGGAAAGGTGATCACTCTTAATTCAAAAAATAATGGTTGACAAGTTTAACTTCATCAATGAAAAACAAATTATAAACCATGTAGTCAATACTAAAATCATCACCACCTTAACCGTCTCATTTGAGACAAACATTTTAAGTACGAGAAAATTGAAAATATGACGGAAATAACTGCGGTCAGCTCACTGGAATGAAACACCAGTTGTATTGTTCGTTGTTGGTAAGTTCACGATCGCATATGAAATATTGCATAGGGTACTTCAAATGATATGGAACGCCTGGACTGTCTAATCATGGTAAAATCATATTTATGATGTGCAATTATCGCTATATGTGATGTGCTTTTATTATTATGTGATGTGCTTTTTTCATTTTGTAGTGTGCTTTTGTTATTTTGTGATGTACATTTGTCATTATGTGATGTGCACTTGTCATTATGTGATGTGCATTTGTCATAATGCGATGTGCTTTTACCATTATATGATGTGCTTTTTTCATTATGTGGTGTGTATTTGTAAGGCACGCCAAATTCACAAAAATTAGATAAACATAGTTTAACAGTTGATAAACTAGGTTTATCGATCGTAAACTATAGTTTACGAACTGTAAACTATAGTTAATGATTCGTTAACTGTAGTTTGCATTTGTAAAACTATATTTAACGGTTGTATAGTGTAGTTTACGAATGCTAATCTATATTTATCTGTCTGTAAATAAACGTTAACAATAGATTTTGTTGATTAATATAGATTCTCATATGTAAACTATAATTTGCATTCGTTAACAATAGTTAAGAGTTGTTAATCAAAGTTTTACAAATCGTGAAACTATATTTATCAAATAAAATATGTTTTACATTCGTTAACTATAGATTTCGGTCGTAAACTATAGTTAACTGTCATTTATACTCACAAACTATATTTAACAGACGTAAACTATACTTATCGATCGTAAACTATAGTTTTGAGAGCTAAACTATGATTCACATTTACCAATCATTTACTGTCATTAACTATAATTCACACTCATAAACTATAGTTAAGAGTTGTTAGATATAGTTCATGAATCTAAACACCTGCTAACCGTTAACGATATATAGTTTTCAATTCAAAATTTCGCGGCACCAATCGCGAGAAGCAATAAGGGGTTTAGGTTTTATCATTGCGGAGACACGTGTTGGACATTATCTAAAGCAAAGACCAAGTTATATATAATCAATATTACTTTCTCTATTTAAACAGGATTAATTGTATTTGTTTTAAAATGTCGTGTATATATACATTTCTTATGGGAAATCTTTAAAAATGTGATAAAATTTTAATTTCTTAAAAGACAGAATATTACGAGATTTTTGCTCAAGCAGAGGAGGGTGAAGCGTGTTTTACAATATGCCAAGCATTTTCCCGCCACATCTCAGCACCAAAACAAAGAAACTGAAAGAGAGGAAATGCAGTGGCGGATCTAGATGGAGTTGTGAGGATTTCAACGTCCTCCTTTGAATTTGAGAAAGAGAGAGAGAGAGAGAAAGAGAGAAGTCCCAAATATTTGTTGTGTTTTTACTAAAGTAAATGTTCCGTAAAAGGCCACTTTTATTTATGTATGAAGAAAATTCGGTTGTTGAAAAATAAATTCCGCGCCTGCAATGTTACATGCACTGGGACTGTGTTATGTCTATATTTACAGATTAATATAAAATATACATGTATTTTTTTAATAACAGGCTCCGGGGCCATAAAACTTAGACGAATTCACTTTTGATCTCGGTCTCACTTTTACTAAAGGAAAATATAAGGGGAAAGTGAGACTGAGATCAAAAGTGAGATCATCTAAGTTTTATGGCCCCGGAGCCAGATCATGCATTTCAATTTGTTGCCTCATAAAAGGAACAATTGGCCGGTTTTGTGACCGATTTTTGACGCTTGCGTCAATTAAAATATGTGTCTTGTTCATTAATTATTGTTTGATCAGCATAGAAGGTTGGAAAGACGGCAAGGATAGATATCAGCATTTCTCTCTATTTTTCTCTTTTAAATTAAAAAAAAATTTAATCAGTAATTTTCCTGTCATTTTTCTTTTTATTTCCAACTAGATTTGCTTTAAAATAATAGAACATTTACTTTTAATCCCAACAAGAAATATACATGCATATATATTTAACAACAATTGCCGTTACATAGCAAAATCTTATACTGCTGTAACTAGGATTAGCCGATATATAATTTACAAAAACTATTGTTAACTATAGTTTTGATTGTAAACTATGGTTTAAAGTCGTGAAATCTAGTTTCACAGAAAATTGTGAAATAAGAGATTCTGTTCCTAAACTGTGTCTCTCAAATGTAAAACTATGTTTATCGCATTTTTGTGAATTTGGCGCTTTGTATGTCTGTAAAGTATACTTTACAAACTCTAAACTATAGTTTACATTTGTTAAGTATAGTTTAGAGTTGTAAATCATAATTTACAAATCGTGAAACTATATTTATCAGATAAAATATATTTTGCAGTAGCAAATGATTGTTTTCCGTGTTAATTATAGTTTACGCTTGTGAAATATAGATTATCGTGTAAACTATAGTTTACAGATGTGAAATATAGATTATCATTGTTAACTGTAGTTTACGGTCCGTAAACTATGGTTTACAGTCGATAAACCTAGTTTATCAACTGTGAAACTATGATTAGCTCATTTTGTGAATTTGGCGTGCCATATACATGTATTTGTCATTATGTGAAGTGTTTTTGTCATTATTTGATGTGCATATTTCATAAGATCATGTACTTTCAATAGCCATTATGTGATAATAAAAACACATCACATCATGAGAAATGTACACCACATAATGACAAAAGCACATCAAGAATGATAAATGCACATCATGAATTTAATTTTGTCATGATAAGACAGTCAAGGCGTTCCATACTTGTTATTCACACCGCGGCCATTTTGAATCCAAAGCGAGGCTGGGAACGCAAACATGGCAGCATGGAGTAAAAACCTACAGTTCGTCCCACCGCTGACACAAGATAAAATTGAGAACTGGGCCAATGAGACGGCGAAAATACCTCGATCAAAACAGAAAAAGGGTTATGGCAACTTCATTGAAGGATATGTACATGAAGTTGAAAGTAAGTGCCTGCTCTTGATCGTGTTTACAAGCATCATAATCATGACAATGTTGTTGTAGGCCTTATTAATATAGTTGGATGATATTTTTTTTCAAATGCATAACTTAGCTAATATGATAAAACGAAAACAATGTGCATTGTTATTTATCGGCAATGCTTAAAGAAAAATACAATTTACAAGTGACGAGCATTTAACAGGGTACACTGGTATTGACCGAATTTCCTCGGGAAATGTTCCGCTGGAATATTACCGCTGATCTGCTGATGGTGTAAACATGCATTGCATTATCGTATTTATTTTAGGTTAAATGTAAATCTGTTAAAGTTTTTTTTAATACTTTTGTGTCTTGTCTGTAGTACAAACATGCAAGGATGTTGTTCGTGCCAGAGCCAAGGCATTCCCATCCATGAGAAAAAATAACCCACCATATAAATTGATGGTTGGCTAGTTCAGAAGTTTAATTGTTATCGATTGTTAGTTGGTTGGTTGGTTCTTTTTTTTTTTAATTGCCTTATTTTTTTCTGTTGCAGCTCAGAGGCATGTTATTATATTATCTTCCTTTTCCTGAATAATTTGAAAATGTTATGAAAATAATTACTAAAAAATATTCAAAATTTTCTAAGTAATTAAAAAAGAATATGATTTTGACTAAGAATCATTGTATTTGCCAATTGTCATTTAAATTGGGTTTTGTTTTTTTTTTGGTTCATCATGCGTTTCTTTTATTTCAATCTATGAAATACAAATATGTATGATACTCGAGTGTACTTGAATGCCAGGGAGATTAAATTGGTAAATAATTTGTTGTTTATATTTTTAAAGATCATGAACTGAATGTTAAATATTTATATATTTTTAAATATAAATATTTAATACTACTTGATCAATGAATGGGGCCTAAATTACATTAATAACCACTGTTTACACTGTGATTGGTCTAACTGATATATTGCTACTCTACAATATCATTTATGTTTTTTTTCTTTTTTGTTTGTTTGTTTGTTTGTTTGTTTGGTTTTTTTTTGGTAGACAAGTACAGTCTGTACATATATTGAAATTCTTTTTAAAATAAGTTACAATTTTTTTTTTCTTTTATAGGTTGAATTGTGTAAAACATCCTCAGTCATTTTGCTTTCACAGTGTGAGTGTAAAGCTGGAAATGGGCACTGCAGTCATTGCATAGGAATACTGTACCTTTTGTGTCACTACCAAAGGTATCAAATATGCAAATTTCTCACATGTTGGAGTAATTTTCATAAAATTACAGTTATAATGACAACTTCCATCTTTTAATTTATCAAAACCATGCTTAACTAAAGTGAAGAAGCTTATAATAGAAATCTTAAAAATAATCCTGGTAGTTAATCTGTTTCAATTACACCAATAGCCTATGAAAATTAGTTTTGAAAAATTTAATTGCTTGGGGGAAAAATTGGTTATTTTTATGCTTTAAGACTCGGATTGAAGGCTGTACCACCAATGCAGAGTAAAACATCTTTGCCACAGACCTGGCATATTCCCCAGAGAATAGAGGGATTGGAACCAAAGCCAGTACATAGTTTGGAAATTTGCAAGGTATTTTTGAATAAAATATATAATTAATTAATTTTATTTTAAATCATATAAATATTGCATGTAGTTAAGATAACATTGAAAATATTCACCCAAGAAATCTATTGTCAACAAATGCTGTACCTGGCTTTGTTGACAATTGAATGGTTTTTGAGGGGTAAAATTCTCAATGTTATATGTATAAATATTAATTATGTTAATATATATATATATATATATATATATATATATATATATATATATATATATATATATATATATATATATAACATATACATGTATATCTATATATATACAATATAATATATTAATATTATAAATATTTATAAATATAACATTAATTTAATTTATATTATACTGAATGTTTTTTCAAATACATATAGCAGAGCTATGCACACATAAATTCTGCACATTCTCAGCATTTTTCCTAATGTCACCTTTGTCAAGCAATGTTGATTGCAACGTTCAATCATGCTGCTGGGCCTGGTTTCATTGTTTAGAGGGTAATAGTGTTTTTTAACAAATTGTCCTTGGCGAGACTGATTTACAGAAAAGTATATTAGTCAAATATTGTATATTGGTAAATGTGATATTTTTTAAAATAATTTTACAGGTGAACCCTAAAAAGGAACCACCCAAGAAGAAAAGGCGAGTAACCGAGGGAGTCTTACCAAACCTTTACTGTCCAGTTCAGTCGATTCCAAGTGCACAGTTCACAAGCACACTGCTTGAGCAACTCTCGGCAATGAAAAGTGATGCACAGATTTTACGCACGTTATCCCATTCAGATGTCAAAGAGTCGCCATCCAAGTTTGGAGCAGTACCGAAAGGATCTGTGCTTTCTTACCAACAAAAACCACTTACTGAAATTGGTGATATAATCAATGACAATGAACAACAAACTTTCCCAGAATTTTTACTACCAGAACAACCTGATCACTATAATAGAGTATTGAACTGTGCTGAGTATGACATTTTCATGGGCATGCAGACTGATCGAACTCATGCACTAGAATTAGAAGAGCAGACTCGCTCACAGAGTGCTACTAAATTATGGCATGAAATTCGATGCCACAGGATCACCTCTACCATGTTTAAAGACATATGCGTCAGGAGGGCAAATCATGAAAAACTGGCAGTGCGTCTTTTAAAGAGCAAAAATATTCAAACTGCAGCAATGAAATTTGGCTTGGAAAATGAACCTGCTGCAGCTAAATTGTATTCAGATATAACTGGAAATAATGTTTACTTGTGTGGTTTTGTAATTAACCCTAGTTCTCCATACCTTGGAGCATCTCCTGACAGAAAGATTTTTGATCCAAATTCTACACCACAGTTTGGGCTTCTGGAGATCAAATGTCCCGACAAAGATTCTTTCCAGGAATGTCTATACCTTAAAATTACCAATGATGGGACTTACAAACTGAAGCAATCTCATCAATACTATTACCAAGTGATGGGGCAGATGGGTCTTACTGGACTCCAGTGGTGCGACTTTTTTGTGAAATGTAGACATGATTACCATAAGGAGAGGATTAACTTTAATGCAGAGAAGTGGGAAGAAATCAAGTTGTCTCTGGACAGATTTTACTTCAGTTATTTCTTGTCCGAAATTCTTAAAATGAAGTAGTCTTTTTTTTACTTGACATTAATGACAATAAATATTGTTCAGAATTGATTGAACATAACAATAAGAATTTAACAATGCTTTTGTGTGTAATTACACATACATTGTAAATGCATGTACATGTACTACTGTAACAGTTTTGTTTAATGCCTGAGAAACTGCCATTTATTGTAAAACTTTTTTAAGACTACATTAATATTAGTATTTCAATAGATGCCACTTTGATTTTTTTTTGCAGAAGTGTAACAAATAATTTTCAATTCATATTAAAATTTAATCATTTCAATTTAACATACCTATCTACTCCTGGCAGAATAAATTTTAAAAAATACATGCACATTTATCATTTATTTCATTTGAATTCATATGAAAAAGGTTGTATACAAAGTAATATACATAATTTGCACTGAAAAGCTGTAATGCTACACAATCAGTAGTAACCCTGACTACAATACTTGTTGATGACCACTGTCTCCAGTCTAATACAGTAATACTGAATGTGAAAGAGCATATCAAATGCAGAGTAGTATTTACATTTCAACATAATCAAACAAATTGCATATATTGGATTGATGTAACTTTTGAACTAGAATAAAGGCCCCCTGAAATTTGTCAGTATTGCACAAACTGTCCATATCTGATTAATGGATGCAGCTAAATTTAGAGGGATGACCCCATCAAATATGTGATACTCTTTTATACGCCTTATGGCTCGTTCTACATGAATACGAAGCCGTGCTATTTCATGTGTTTGTGCTACCTCACTAGCAGAAAATTTACCCTTTTCACCGAGAAAAGGAGGTATTATCAAAGATGCTTGTTTTTTGTCTAATAAGTCTTCTATCAAAAACCCTTTGTCAGCCATTACTTGGTCGTTAGGCTCTAACAGGTCCAAAATTCCTGACAATGCAGTTATAGCTTTATCACTAATGCTACCTGTATACAATGAACTAATAAATGCCACAGCACCACATGGAGTTATCCCAATTAAGCTCTTAAATGTTGTGTGACTCTTGTAATTAGAGTAAGTTTCAGAATTTAACACTTTTGAGCTAGGAGTTTGAACTTTAATTTCTGTACAATCCAAGATGACTCTAACATGGGGATAAGACTCCTTGAAACATTTAGGCATGTTACTGTCAATCACACAACGAGGTGGCCAAATGGGTAAACTACCCAGCATCGTATATAAATAATTAGACCAAGTTATTAAAATTCTACTAACTGAAGGTTGAGATATGTTAAATCTAACAGCCAAATCCTGTTCTGGAAATCCCTGTCGCACTCTACAAAGGAACATAAAGAACTGATCTATGAGAGGCAATGCTTCATTACGAATAGCATTCAACTTCATGTTCTCTGTATTTGAAGAATGTCTTTGCATTTGTGTCCATCTAATCATTGTTGCTGCTGTTGGCTGAAGTGCATTATACAAACATTTTAAGGTTTCATAATCTTTAAAACCAGTATAAAAGTTTATCAATTGGGGATCTGTAGTGAATCGTTCCAAAGAAAAAAGTCTCCTTTCCACCGCCACAAGTTTTCTTTGTAAATTCACGATTTCTTCTTGGGCTGCCTGCAGTTGGTTGTTGACTGAAGTATGGATTATGTAGTCATGGTCATTTGACACAGGTGGAGTCTGATCCACAGAAATGGACAATAATTCAGGTGCTTCCTCAATGCTGTCCTCTGCAGACTTTGCTGGTGACCTAAATGAAAACAATATCAATGTTGAGTTACAAACCTAAGGAAGCAGCACAAACATATTAGAGGGGAGCATATATGGGGAGGGGTGAAAACCTAAAAATTGGGGAGGTGCTAACATACTAAAAACATAAATCAATAAAAACATTAGAGACTGGGATACTAGATTCAATTCAATCATCTTCTGCCTGCTCTTTCTCTGTACCATAAATATTTCAAAAATGTGGGTGGGGCACTATTCTCTGCCCATTCAGCACCCCCACACTTGATCGCTCGAATGAAGATGACAATACATGTCAACAAATTTTATCGTAATCAATGTATCACTTTCTTTAGGTATTTTTAAATTTCTAAAGTATGTCAGTACATTTTAACAATACCTTCTTGTAATATTATCACAACAGTTCATCTATAAACTTCTAACATTTTCGACTTATTCTTTAGAACCAAGAACCATATCAACTTACATGTTTTTCAATGATCTCCTTAGTGGCCTGATTCTTTTTACTGGGGAATTCCAAGCAAATATACTTGGTACACTCCCTGGCTTTAGAAGTCGTTTACCATTTAAGGACCGACGTACTTCGGTTTGTAGAAAATGTGCTGAACATACCCTGGTAGCATCGGATATCTAAGAAAAAAAATCATACGATAATTTAACTGATTTGTGTTCCGAATTTGCTCATTACAAATACATAAATGCATATAAAATATCGTAATTATCTGCAAATGAACTTATGAAATATGCTTACAACAATCCTCGAACTTTGATTGAATGGTTTAAAAGTTGATCTATCTTTTGTTTTTTCAAGCATTGATTATTTACGAAAGTCAACACTTGTCAACTTCGTGGCATACTTACTCTGAAGGTTTGACCTACATCCCTTCGAATTTTAATTATCCACTCTTTCCTTTTAATTTTATCGGTAGGAAACTTATGGAAGGATAATTCTCTGTTGCTGTCATACCGGGAATCATTATTGCACAATGGGACACAACAATGATAAGCTGTACCCGTACAGTTCGCACATGCCTTACTCGAACTCGCCATCTTGTTTGCGTTCATAGCCTCGTTTTGAGATTAGATGACGCAATCCGTGAATAAGGAGTATACAATGATAAATGATTACGCTTTTGCAGGCGACACAAAATATTAAGTAGCCAATCATCAATTTCAACTGGAGTGTAGTCATTTATCATGATATCGAAATCAATATAGATCGAATGTCTCACGAGGTCAAAAAGAAAATATGCAGAAGAGCGGACACGCTTAGGTTGCTACGTACACTGCCTACAAGCAAGAGTGTAAAGATCGGTTACGGGTAATTTTCTGTGCAGAAAATAGTATGCCACGGGCACAAGGCAGATTCTGTGTTCGTGCAGTCTGTGAAGCAAATAAGATTAGAATTTATAACAGTTCATATTATATCATTTTTTGTGTAAAATAAACCCCAGACCCATGTAAAAAGGATGCATGTGTATGTAATTATCTATAGATGAGCCTAGAGATAACCCACAGCCTTACCTTGACATGTTTCAGGTTTAAACAGTTAACAACTGTCATGCGCTGTTATCAGGGTGTCAGGAGAACTCGTCCCTTGGAGAAATCTTTGTTGTTTGATTAAAGCTTCCTTTCGAGATGTCGTAAGCATGGGTAATTCATAATCAAAACGTATTTTTTTTAAAAAGGATAATCATGAGGTGGTTAAGAAATTGAAAACAAAGTCTTGTTTATTTTATATAGGCATTGTTATCACATCTATGTATAATCATTTGTTCTTTAATTAACAGTATTTGCAAATAAAATTTCATTTTTCAGTGCTTTACTTCTGTATAATTTTACGCATTATACTAAAAGCATTTTGAATGATTTCTTTTATTTATTTTTCAATATAAATGAAATTTAATTTATATCATTTAATTTATACTATTTAGTTTCAAGTTAAGTTAAGAATTTATTTACCCGTTGGTTGTCTTACCAGCTTATCAGATTACCGATTATCGGAAAAGGGACTACCCCTAATGAAAAAGGTAAAGATAAAGATCGATCTCAAAAATCTTTTAAACCATACAAATCTGTGAACAGGGCAAACACAAGGCCCCTGGAAATTCCAGAGGTGGAATCAGGTGCCCAGAAGGAATAAGCATTCCCTGTTGACCGGCCACACACACTGAGAGCCCTATGTATTGATCAGGGAGATGGAATAATACGCATTCAAATTTAGTATAAAACAATGGCCTACCAATTGGCATGAAACGTATCAGTCGATGTATTTGCAAGCAAGGTTATTATAACGACCATAGAATTTTTTAAATGCTCACTTTAAACGAGGTTTGAAATCCATGTAACATCAATTTATTTTGTCATTCGCCTGCCTCGATTATAAAATTGGTCGTATTCAGAGCATGCTTTTGTTTAGGCCTTATCGAATAAATTTGGAAACGTAAACACTATATGCAGGTGATAATAGAATATTACTATGTAAATAAGGAAAATTGACGATGGAAAAGCTGAAGTCATCTCGTTTGTCGTACAGTTGTGTTCTTAATACTTTTTATTTCCACTCAAAAAGAGTTATTGCCCTTTGATCGCTCTTTAAAATCGGAGAGTGAAAACGGTACAAATCTCGCGAGATTTCCGGGACAAACATTCTAGACGTAGTCAATGACGCTGAAATGCCTGTTCGACATTGTATCGCTGTTGGCTGCACTGCCGATAGCAGGACAAGTACGGATTTAAGTTTTCACCAGCTCCCAAAAGTTGAGAGTGAGCTGAGGAAGTGGCTTAGTTTAATAAGGAGGGAGGGGTTGAGAGTAGATAGAACGAGTGATATACGGCATTACGTTGTATGCTCAAAACATTTTGTAGACACCCTACCAACTCCACAAAACCCTTATCCAACACTGTTTGCGTATAATAATTACAAAAAGTCAACCCCAAGAAAAACGAAGAACTCGAACTTAGGTAGAACTTCAACAAGCACCATAAGTCAAGATTGTCCAACCACCAAAAAAGTTAGACTTGTGAAATGTGATCCAAGTACTGATAAAACACAGATATGCTATCCCTATGTTGTGGGTGAATTGGACATCCCATTCATGGATTGTCTGGATATCAACAATAACAACAAAAGTCAACCAGGTATGTTGAATAAAAACTTAATATATAAGATATTTTAAATAAATACATTTATGATTACCTCTACCGTACATTTATTTATATTCAACATATACTTCACCAGGGTGTTCATGTTGTAAAACTACTTCCTTGTTTACTTTAGAGTTTGAATGTGACATTCAGTGCCAAAACACACAAGTACATCATGATCATCCTTATATCTGCTGTAGTCCAAAAAAGAAGTATAGTGGGGAACATGATCTATTGGAGAAAATTACACTTTTAGAGGTGAGTTGGCACTGACAAAATGTATTACTTGTCTATAATGCTGTCCTTTCTCAACCCTACTACCATGATGGATCATTCACACTACAACACAAACCTATCTTTAAAATATATATTCAATTTCTAAGCTACCAAATAACCATTGATACTTATACTGAAGGTTTTAATTTATACTAGGCTAGATGTGAGAAGCTAGAGAAAGAAAACAGGAAACTAAAAGAGGAGAATCAAGCACTCAAATCACGTAAAGTTGATTTCCGGGAGAACCTTATGGGGAAAATACTACATGATGATAACAACGTCAAGCATTTTCTGGGACTGCCTTCACTTAGTTTTCTTACATTTTTCCTTCAGTTTTTGGCCCCTTTTTATGACAAAGTTTCATTTTGGAAAGGAGCTGGGAGGTCAGGATCCAAAAAGTGGCAAGAAAAGATTCAAACAAAACCAGGGAAACAGAGAAAACTCACTATGAAGGAGGAGTTTGTCATGACCATGTTGAAACTAAGACTTGGTGTAGACAATACAACTCTTTCCGTTTTGTTTAATGTGTCAATTGGATATGTCTCAAACCTATTTAGCACATGGATAAATTTCCTAGCTCAAATTCTAGACCCTGTTATTAAGTGGCCAGATAGTGAAAAGATTCGAAAACACATGCCATTATCATTTAAGCTCAAGTACCCCAATACAACATCAATAATTGACTGCACAGAAGTGTTCATTCAAAAACCAAAAAATTGTTCTGCACAAGCAAGTACTTGGAGTAATTACAAGTCCCACAACACCCTGAAGGCACTGGTTGCTATTCAACCAAATGGAGCTTTTACTTTTGTTTCCAAATTCTGGAGTGGCAATGTCAGTGACCGAAAAATTACAGTTGACAGCAAATATATTGACCTCATTTCCCCAGGGGACGAGGTCATGGCAGACAGAGGATTCCAAATTAGAGATCTTCTTACCCTGAAAGGAGCATATTTGAATATGCCGCCTTTCACCAATGAGAGAAGAAATGGCAGAGGGAGAGTGCTAACATCAAAACAGATTATTGAGACTCGTAAAATTGCTTCACTACGTATCCATGTGGAACGAGCTATCCGCAGACTGAAATCTTTCAAAATGTTAGGAGGCATTCTCCCTCTGAAAATGAAAAATTTGTCATCTGCAATGCTTAGAGTAGCAGCAGCATTTTGCAACTTTATGCCACCTTTGTCAAAGAAATTTAAATGAAGGAAATTGTTTACTAGTATCATGGCAAATTATGTTCATTTTTATTATAGAAGAGTATTCGTTTTTATGCAGCATAAAATTTATGCTAGTAGATAACTTGCTAGTTTCATACATCTGAATCAATCCAGCTTTGTACTTATACTGTCATTGAGTACAAAAATGAAGTCAGTCAAAGTCTTTAGAGTGGTTTTAAAAATTGAAATATTGTTTGGAACATGTTATAAAAATAATGAAGTAAAATGGAGTGTATAAATAAATTCAAAGAACTTGATAAAGTTTCTTATGACAGAACAAAAAATATTGAAAATGAGTTGAAGTGACATACATCACCTTCAATTCTGCAAAGTATTACAATCTACAATAGTCAAGGTACCTGACTAAGGTATATATGATGTAGATACATTCTATGTACATGATATACTCAAACTAAGTTTGGCAAAACGTACTGCATATAAAAACTTTTAAGCTTTTCAGATAACAATTCCCAATCTGCTTTTGAGAAATGAATTCTCTCTACATAGATATCTTTTTGAGTAAACAAAACAAAATCACAATGTGAAAACTTGCATACTGCCATTTGACCAAGCATTTGGACATAAAATGGGGAGGACAGACTCTTTTTCAATTCATAATTTCCATTGACAATTGCACATGATGAATTTTTTGACATAGCAACCTGAGATGTTTCATTTCTTGAACTGTAAGGACACTTAATTTCAACAAGTCCTTTTCCACAACACTTGCATTCAGAAATGCCATCAGGGGATGCAGCGAAGAAAGGGAAATCTTTGTAAACATAGATTCCAGTCTCTGCACACTTGAATGAAGGGTGACAACTTGTCATTTGATCAACATATCTCTCTCGAGCGACAGATTCATTTCGTTTTCCGTATTCGACTGATTTTGAGGTGAAATGATACTGACCCATAATACTTCTTACAATGTAGTTGTCCGCTTTATCACCTCTGTAGTGATAGGCATTGAAGAAGTTTGAAGCAGTCAGTCTACCTTTTCTCTGGTACTGCCACATAAGGTTGATGGATTGCCCTTTAGTGAATTCATTTACTTTTTTAACATAAGAATCATCTACTTTCAAATTTTCTTGACCATGCATTGACATTAAATCAATAATATTTTTAGGTGTGTCCTCAATACCCATAGACACATCATTGTCATCATCAGAATCTGACAATGTATACAAGGCCACTGCTAGTGTATTGCTCTTTTTGAGAACTTGAACAATATTCTTCTCCAAAGACTTTAAATCCAATGCTGATGACTTAAGTGGCAAATATCCAGAATCTTCCGACGGTCGTGGTCTATCTGGTTCATTCGTGTCAATCCTATAATCATTAGAAATATCAAATATATAAGTAATGTTAAAAATGCTTAGATAATGCACATTGTCACTACATATATTCCAAAATGGTTGTAAGATTGGGAGGGAGAGATTTTGACTTGATTTTAAAATATACCGGTACATATTAGACAGATAGAAAGTGGATTCAAGATATTCCCCTCTGAAGAAAAAGTACCCCTCAAAAGTGAAAAAGGGTTTAAACAAAAACCAAAAAAAAAAAAAAAGGCAAAAAAATTGACAGTCATGAAGGAAAGGGATTTTACATAAATTCTTCATATAAAAACATCTAAACTGTTATTTTTTCATTTCACATGTATTTTTCTTCTAATCTATATAAATAACTCTTAACATTCGAAATTTAATAATATTCAATTTTTAATAACATGGATGAGAACCAAATTACAATTTATAAAAGATGATGTATGAATACATTTATTTTATTTTTTTCTTTGTGTTTTATATAGTCATCTTTTTTTTCTTCATTTTCTTATTACTGTTGTTAAAGTATAATTCTAAATGACAAAAGATATAAAACAATTTCTCTTTTCTCAAAGGAGAACTATATTTCCCTGCACTAGCTCAAGTTTGCTGTGCCATGATGTCATATTCCATTATGGTGGAGATTAACATCAGTCCTCTATTCTATACAGTGCATACAAAGGCAGATTGGCTGCATGTCATATTTAATTTTAAAACATGTAAAGATATACATGGTCCATTTTCATCTGAGAAGATAAATATATAAAAGCAATGAAATAATACTTTTTGACATGCTTTGTATCATAACAAAACACAGGTGGCTGTGCTGACAAATTTTCATAACAATCTTAGGTGTGTTATTCAATTTGTCAACACAGCCATCCATGAAACAATGCATGGCAAAAAATATTAACTCAGTGTTAAATTGAATATGATACATCCACCAAACAGCATTCTTTGAGGAGAACTCGGTACAGTATGGCCAATACCTGATATCTAAGTCATGAACAGCCACTGGCCTGCATACTTTTCTTGGTTTATTCCAATATGCTGCAGTATCTGTGACTCCAATGGTACTTCGGTCTTCTATGGATGTGACGTGATCAATAATGCCAAATAGTAGGGCGACAACATGTTTGCAGGACCCATCCCCTCTGTTTAAGATTATTTCTTACAATTATATTTTTGTGTAGAATAAAAATAAATCAGTTCACTTCAACTTTGCTTGTATACACATATTTAATATTCACAAAAAACTTAAAAGCAGAAGTCTCATAAAATTTAATCAAACTTTTAGCACAATCAAGAAAATAACATTTCAAATGTGAGAAGAAGAAATTGAAACTTACGCAACACATGTGCATTCTGCTGAAAATATGTGTCCAGACTTTTCAACCAGAATCCACGGGATATAGGGATCACTGGACTGCCGTGTTTCAGGAACACACTTTCCCTTGATAAAACACATATCATCACCTAAAATTTAAATTGTAAACAAAATTTTCAAAAACATTCTTATTTGCTGTAATTCTAAATAAATAAAATTTAGGAATGGAGTTATATTTAAGTATAACGTCAAGTGCCTGTGAGACATACTTGTTTGTTTCTTAGGCACAAAAAAAAATCCAAAAAAATATTTGATATACCGTACATACAATCTGGTGACAGCAGATGGTTAAATGTTGATGAGATATGCATGGTTGGTGAAAGTTCATGGACATGGATGGAAGGATGATGGTGATGACATGATGATTAAACAAGTAGCAAAGGATTGTAGTACAAAAAATGCTTGATTTTATAACCAAGTCAAATTATGTACTTCAACCAGTAGCCACTATAATCTAAAGCTAGCAGTAAAAAATCCTAATGTCAATTCTAAAAAAAAAAAAAAGACTTGACTCTGAAAATACCAAATATTACATAATATTTATTATCTGTATTTACAAATTTAGGTGAATTAGATTAATCTGGTAATTGCACACACCTTCCCGACGAAAAAATCACTTTAACAAAACAGAAGAAATGTTTCATACTCATCTTATCAATAAACGTTACACAATGCAGTATTCATGTAAGCCTACCTAACAGAGCCATGACGACATCATAAATGTGACCAGAGCAATGAAGCTTATATCCACTGTCGGATTTCCTGTTCCGTAAGCGTTCTTCAGACCACCCACAGTAGTTTTGAAGAAAAGATGACACGTCAAAGGCATCTATAGAGGGTATAATGGCAAGATTCGGAGTCCAAGCGATGCTACCATCATGATATGGGTGTGGATATGTTTTTCCACGAACCGTTCGTCTGCTAATGGAGGCCTGTATATCACCATCATAATGACCGATATGTGGCAAATTTAACGCCTCTGCTCCCTCGCATAAATCAACCAAGTCTTGCTTATTTCTATTAGAAAACGGAATACCTTTCGATTTCAATATATTCTTCAGATCGGTGCACTGTAAACTCTGATAATTTACAGAGTTAGACGCCATCACAGCCAAATTTTGTCCCAGGGGACCCTACTAAACGCGCCTCTAATTTGAAGAGTGCCGTAATGGAAATATCAAGTATTGGCAGGCTCTGTGGTGTCTTTTATTCCGAATTCACTGAAGTATATCAAATCGACATATGAATAAAGGTAACTATTGTTAATTGATAAAACGTCATCTTTATATCTAAATGTCGAACTAAAGGCCACAGCAGACTTTTTTCTCGAGTAGAAGTTCTTAATAAATTCTGCTTCATGGGAAAATAAAAACAGATTGGCTAATAAAGAAGCACAATGAGTGCCAATCGGAATTCCAACAGTTTGTTGAAAGACTGGTCTTCAAAGACTACAAAGATGTTGTCAATGAGGAACTCTTGCATAATTTTAATATCAATCTCAGTGCACTTTTGTATCAGAATGATTTTTAACAATTTTGTAGATGACCAATCACAAGATATGGAAATTTCAGAATCCCATTTCTATTAAAGAAACTGTTGTCTGTGATATCAAAAAGCCTTGTATTTAATTTATCATCAGAAATGTTTCATAAAATGAAGAAAAGTCATACGTTTTGTGATTTTATATTTTCTAAAAGTTCTTTGTAGTTTTTAAGAATTCATTTTTGATTTACACCACTTCTAGAATATGTTGTAGCACAGTACGTCCGAAGTTTCTCGAGATGTCAGGCTTCTTAGTTGCTGCATTTGTCTTGCAAAGATTATAGAGTGCTTGATTTCGTTTATTGTATTTGATAAACTAATGCGGTGTTCTTCTGTTGCGTTACTGAATAAGTTCCCAGGTATACAATAGTGGGGGGGGGGGGGGGGTCATACCAAAAAATATAAGTCTTTATCCTAAAGCTTGAGAAGGACATTCTATATCAGAAGATTCAATGGGACACAAATAATTTTTTTTAAAGTTTCATTTGTGATATTTCGCAAAAATTTCAGATATAGATATCAAATCTTAATTTATGACAAAATAGGCGATTTTTACTAACTCGTTCACTTTTATTCCATATGAAGTCTACAGACTGAACATTTCTAATAGGAGTAGGCGTTGTTACTTTACACAAAAATAGTTATCAATATCAGCCGTACATTTAGCCAAGAATTGATTTGTAATTAGATATTTGTTTAGATACATACATAACTAATTCGAAAACTTCAATTATTTACAAAAATTATTCCTAGACAAACTGTGATATTTCTCTCCAACTGATCCCATAATCACAAATATTTTAAATAACAATGTTAAAAGGTTCACATGGAAATGAACTTGGATGGAATGTGATCAAACCTACTGAGAAGCCAACTCCCAACAAACTTTTTTAAACTCTTGCATGTGAGAAGTGACCATTTTTTGCTTCATTGTCAGGTGTATATAGTAAAACTATCGGTATTTCCATTACAGATAAAAGTGTTCTGTACATTAATCAAGTGGGACGATTTGCCTTTCACACTCACCCCCATCCCTTTAACAAAGAACATAAAACAAAAACAACAGATAAAATTTAAAACCTTACCTGTATAATTAACATACCTTTTATTTGAAATGGACTTCATTTTGTATAGCAACACGTATTTATTTTGGAAATCGCGACTTCCTTTCTATTTATTCAATTTTGGTTTGTTGAAATATTAGAGTTCAAATCTAATTTTAATCTTTGATTATGCATCAAACCATGGTGTTTTTCGAGATATCCCCTCCCACTGTAAGTATTAGATTCCATTCTATTGTGATAACACCGACTGAAATTGCATTAATTTTACAATATATTAAATTCGTCTAATGAACAAAGTTTCCTTTCAGGATACCCAACTTATAAAATATTCCAAAATGTTCTGCCTCCATCAATGTGCTGGATGGAGGACAAAGGTTCCTGTCATATCAAATATGTACACACACAAAAAATATAATCGCACTCAATAACAAAATAAAATATTATTTGAATAATTAAAAAAATAAATAAAATCTTCTTAGAATTTTTTTTTCATTTTATTAATTGCAAAAAATAGATGTTTCTCTTTTTCTCTATAAATACATCTGATCATCACTATATTACATTGAAGACGTGTCCATAGATCAATATAAAATTATAGGTACAATTAACAATACATGTATACATAAATCAAAAAGATAAAATTTAACTTGCCGATTAAAAAAAAACCTTCAGTTTTTTACCTTGAACTTTAAGATATGTTTGATCAACAGCAAAATATTTACTTTTAAAGTCACTGTAATTAAGAATTCTAAAGTTAAGGCACGAATCCAATTTCCAGTTTTTTGTGATGATCAAGTCATCACCAACACTAAACTGTAAATATTTCAACTCGTTTCAGTCAGGAGTTCCCGGATTATGGTCTAAATCCAATTCACTTTCTTTCTGAACAGTGACCTTAACCCTTTTGAGAATTAATTGAGTTTGTTTCGAAATCAAGACCCCATAAGATGTCAACAATATACTTAAGTTTGAATCCGTTTTAGCGAGTAGAGTTATACCCTCGAATCTTCATTTTGTAACAGATAGATAAACTGCAAAAAAGCAACATATCTCTCCCCCTGTTGTTGGAGATATGATTGACGATCATGTGATGCAGGACAATCATACATCTTTATATCATATATTTGGTCGATATCCTTGATCCCTTTTCTGGTGAAATTGAAAATACATAGTTATCTTTGCCTAGATTTTGACAATACCTCAGCTGCTAGATAAAATTCCTTAGAGTATCCAGCAGTACAATAATTATATACCCACAGTCACGCTCATTCTTAGGAAATGTAAAACATTTATCACTTCACGCACATGGCAAACTGAACAGGTTTAACCTGATGATGTCATTATAAACATTTACAAACATTGACTAGGTTTATAGTCATTACCATTTTTTTTTTAAAAAATGGAGTTTAAAATACATATTGATCGCATTTTCTTATTTTTCAAACAAAATACCCGGATCAGCTTCTACAACCTGTTGATAATCATTTACAGGGGGTTTACATTGTAGATCCTCTTTATCAAATCCGGTCACTTTTACTCCACTGTCAGGATTGTTGTAAATGTTTGGTTCTATTCTTACGGAATCACGTGATCCCATTGCAGGATCTTCTGGGAAATAATTATACGGTAGCAAAAAGAAACTAAGGTCCATGCCTGGTGTGTGGGTCACTGGAAGATCTTCTGTATGGGGGATGTGCTGGACACCCATACTCACCCAAGCAACCAAATCCTGAAAGAAGATAACGAGTCTATTCATTTCAAACTCACTAAACAAAAGACAAGTTGGAGAAGAAAAAATCGCAATGCAATTTGGAAAATTATTTAGTTAAATATGTGAAGATAGTTTCTTTTTATGTGACAAATACAAAATAAATCTCTTGTTAAAAAAAATTAACGGAGTATCATTACTTAAAGAATAGTTCTAAACGCTTACCTGATCAAGAATATTTTCGTTGTCCTTTAAGAAGTGGTCGAAATTGACAACAGGTGACTTTGCGTCCAATCCACTGTAAATAGAACTACATATTCTTTCGTTTTCTTTCCGTTTTGTGACTGCAATTTGATAGCGCATCCAAGGCATAGCCGGTTCGTTTCCCTTTCCCTCTGGTAGCAGTTGTTTACTCATTCCTCGACTCAATAGCCTGTACGATCTTGGCTCTCCAAACTTGTTACTTTTCAAATTGCTGTAAAATAAGTGATACTTTGGAGTATCAAAATTAAACTTGTATGCCGCTTCGCTTTCCGTCTTTTTCTCAGAAACAATGAACTGATTTTGGACAATGTTTGCAGTTGGGTCTGGATTGAAATGATTTGCTGACACCGTTGTTGAGATGTCCAGCGTTCTGTAGCGGTTCTGTGACCCTTCAATATCTAAATCTACTTTATAGCTAAACATATGATGGTGAAGATTACCACTGATATTGTCGTTTATTTGTGTTCCAAAACTCGCAGCGTTAACTGTTAAAGGGGTGGCAAGTATGTAGCCCGTTGAAACTACTTTAACCTCCAAAGCTCCGGTTTGGTAGAATATAAAGTCCAGAATATAGTCGTAATTGACTATTGTCAGGATTGATCTAAGAATAAGAACAGCATTGGACATTCCTTCATAAAACGATCCGCGGAAAGAGGCGAATGAATGATGTCTTCGAAGTGGCATTCCTGTGTTGATTTCAAAAACACAGAAGGCGTTTTTGAAAGTGACTATTTTTTCAGAGGACTCCAATACGTGGGAAGCGGGCATAAAGGTGGCGTGGGAAGGACAGTCAACACCTGGGACTAACCCCTTATCCTGGGGACCAATCAGAGCAGTTGTATCAAAGTAGTTTGCGAACATCTGTGTCGGTTTATACCCAGAATAAAACACACTTATTTCTTGTAGAGCTAGCTCGTATACAATTCTATTGTTCCTGAAACGAATATCATTCAGCTGTGGGCCACGAGTACTAGACATTCTGAAGTCAAATTCCCAGTTCATGTATTTCACATGCTGACCTTTGACGCTGTATCTCCGACCATCTGGTTCGATGGAAATGGGCGGACGCTGTGATGTTTCCGAGAACTCTGTATCTCGTCTGTTTAACTTAGAGAACAGAGTGTCAGACATGTAAGGAAACAGCAGTGGTTTCTTTTGCATAGTGTTCTTGCTGTATTGTATAACAAGAGAATCGATCGTGTCAAAAGCATGCTTATTGAACCAAACTTTCTCAATGGAATACCTAATATCGTCCATATCGACAAGGACAGCAAAGTCAACTGGATGAAGAATGTAAAATTCTACGAATTGATACATCCAAAACCAATACAGCCGTCTGTTCCGGCCACTGACAGCAGACGACACTGGAGTCATAAATTTAAATGCGAGACAAGCTTCACTGCAGTTTGTAAGTGTCCCGCCAAAGCTCTCTCGCAAAAGTTGGCGTGCTTTTTGGTCTGTTTCCTTGGTGATGCTTTTTACAGCATTATCGTAATCTGGTCCGGTGACAGGGCGATACTGGAAAGGAATGTTATCCTTCCAGATCGTGTAATGAGTGGGATTAGGGAGCGGTGTGACGACTATCTCCATAATTTTTGGTACGATTAAGTCTCCGCGAAAAATTATCACTCGCGCCTGTCTGGGTGGTTTCTGTCCGGCGCGACTATCTAGGTAAGAAACAGCGTCTGCTTTTTCAGGAAGATGTAGTTCTGCTGTAAAAATATATGAAGTTTTCACTTTGATCTTTGCAGGTCTTGTTAAATTAAGCTCTTTTTGCTTATATAAGAATTCCATCATTCCTTTCACTTCCTTTGAAGTTAAATCATGAAATATGGAGGGGTTATCCGGTTCTGATAAATCAACACTTTGACCCGACGAACAAAGTGGAATTTTCTCCTTTTTCCTCACGAAAACTAATACTACAATTACAATTAACAGCATGAGTATAATAATCCCCATAACAATCAACAAGATGTGCAAGCGCCCGATGGTCCGTCTGCCTCGCTGTTTTTTATTCCGATTGTTTGGTTTGTTCTCTTTACTTTCGTCCAGAGGAACAGATTCATGATTGTTGTCCATGTCTGACCCTAACATTCTGAAAGATAAAGATCGTATTTCAGAAAAGGAAAGACCGTTTACGCTATTCTCGAAGAATATATTGAAGAAGATGTGTTTTTGAAACACTGATGCCCCGTATGGCAACTTATATCAAAGGTTAAACTTTCTCAAAGGCAAATCAAATATGTTGGTACCCAAAGTAAGGTCTTGTCCCGAGGAATAAACCTGTGAAATAGGAAAGTCCTAGCAGCAACCATTGAATAGATATGGAAAAGGTTAAAGTTTTATCAAAGGTATGTCAAATATCAAGGTCAAATCGTCAAAATTAATGGTGCCCAAGGAAAGGCCTTCTCCCAATACAAAGGTGAAATTTGAAAGCCGAAGGGCCATTCGTTCAAAAGTTATATCAAGGTTAAAGTTTTTCAAAAGTAGGTCATACTCCAAGGTCAATGGATTATAATTGTTGGTATCCAAGGGAAGGTCTTGTCACAAGGAATACACATGTGAAGTATGAAAGCCCTAACACTAACCGTTCAAAAGTTATGGTCAAGTTTAAAGTTTTTCAAAAGTAGGTCAAACTCCAAGGTCAAAGGGTCAAAGTTGTTGGTATTCTAAGGAAGGTCTTGTCACATGGATTACACATGTGAAGTATGAAAGCCCTAGCATTAACCGTTCAAATGTTATGGCCAAGGTTAAAGCTTTTCAAAAGAAGGTCAAACTCCTAGGTGAAGTACAAAAGGTCAAAGTTGTTGGTATTCAAGGAAAGGTCTTGTCACAAGGATTACACATGTGAAGTACGAAAGCCTTAGCACCAACTGTTCAAAATTTATGGCCAAGGTTAAAGTTTGGTAAAATTTTGCAAAAGTGGGTCAAACTCCAAGGTCAAGGTCAAATATAATGGTACCCAAAGAAAGGTCTTGTCACAAGGAATACACATGAAATAAGAAAGGTATATCTCCAACCAATCAAAAGTTATGGGCAAGGTTAAAGTTTTTGCGGACAAACAGACAGACAGACGGACGGACAGGACAAAAACTATATACCCCCGAATCTTCGATATGGGGGGGGGCATTGAAATTGACGTAGGGGTGTGTGACGGTACATATTGTCGTTTTGCACATATTTTCGTCGACGACAATATGTACCTACCCTCACGGCACAAATTGTCGTTCATCGGTACACATTGTCGCCGGCGACGATATGTGCCGAGACAAGCCTTATTTTCTTCTGCATAATGGACGACCAAATGTGCAGTCAAGCACCAGCACATATTGTCGTTGGCGACAATGTGTATAGTCAAGGTCAGCACATAATGTCGTCGATATAGTGTTTTGACGAATATTTAATTGAGTAAGGAAAGAGAGATTGACAAACACACACATACGCACGAAGGGAGACAGACAGCATTACTAGCAATACTATAGGGAGAAAACGTTTTGGTCAGAAAATTGTGTCCAGGATTGATGTACTTCACTATGATTGGTCAAAGATTCCGTAATTCTTGAGATATCTGAAAAATAAGCCTATACATTTTTCTTGTACTTTATACTTGGAGATTGAATACATGTATTAGTTTTTTTTTTGTTCGGTAGTATTGATTATTTGGAAATCAATTTTGGCGTTATTCTTATACAGTCAGGTGCCGTTATAATTGGTGTTGGGGTTAATACTTTTAGATCACCTGAACTGGAAATTCAAGTGAGCTTTTCTGATCACATTTTGTCTGACTGTCCCTTTCGTCTGTAAACTTTTCACAGTTTCAGCTTCTTGTCAAGAACTACTGGATCAATTCCAACCAATCTTGCGACAAAGCAGCCATGGATAAGGGGGATTCAAGTTTGTTCAAATGAAGGACCAAGTCCTATTTCAAGGGAAGTTGATAAGAATTAGTGATAATTTAGTGACATCTTTTTTAAAAAATCTTCTCAAGAACCACTTTGTCAAAAAGTTGAAACTTATGTGAAAGATTCATTATGAAGTGTAGATTCAGTTTTATTCAGATCATGTCCATCGGGGGAAGGGTATGGCTACAAAAGGTGATCAAAGTTTTTCATAGAATATTTAAGAAAAAGATCTTTCAAAATCTTTTTTCCCAAGAACTACTGGGTCAGAAGAGATGATACTTATGTGAAAACTTCACTACATAGCGTACGTTTAATTTTGATGTGCAAGATGACACGAGAAAGATCCCTCACTGCTCCATGACCCTGAGCGCCAAGTATAGGCATCATTCTGAAATTTCTGGATCCACCACTGAGAAACAGCAGTTGGCCCTTGATTAGTGATGTTTATATGGAAGCATCCTCAGGTAGCGAAGACTCGCGTATCTTTAAACCGGGACTAGGGTGGGACCACAATGGGCGACCAAAGTACATAAAAATATATGGGAAAATTCTTTAAAAATTATCTTCTCAAAAACAGGAAAACAATGAGTAATCATATTTAAATGGAGCATTGCCGTGCGTTGTCTTGCGACATGTTCTGATGAACAATATGCGCAGTGAGGGTAGGTACACATTGTCGCCTGCAACAGGACGACAAAACGTACCGTCACAATCAGGCTACATGAAATAGCAAACGAGACAGGTCAGTGTGATTCACACACCAATTACATTCACAAAACTATCAAAACACAACAAAAGAAATGTTTAAGCAACAATATCTGTGGGGCGACAATATGTACAGTGAGGGTGAGGCACATAATGTCGCCAGCGACAATATGTGCATATGTAACTTTTCAGCCGGCGACAATTTGTACCGATGGACGACAATAAGTGCAGTGAGGGTAGGTACATATTGTCGCCGACGACAATATGTACAAAACGACAATATGTACCGTCACAGGGTGGTTACGAATGGTATCAGAGTTGTTGTCAAACGAGTATCATTCTTATCTGTGGCGATTCTTCATATCTCACTGAATAATAGTTGAGATTAAATGCCCTTAAGAGGTTGGAAAATTGGTGTATAGCTATCTCTGTGGTGAACTGAGGATCATTAAAATTATGAATAATCTCAAAATGCATCACAGGGATTCTAGGAGCTAGGTGATATATGGCTTTGTACACTTTTTAAGAATTAGTAAAGCATTCTGAAAGCTTACTGTAACCACGGTTTTGTTCACGTTTAATGTTAGCATAAGCCATTCAAAGAATGGCCATGATTTTGTCCACGTTTGATCACGAATAAGGCATTTTAACTAAAAACTAAAATAAATCAAATCAAAATTAAATTAAAAACTAACTGTATCTATGGTTTTGTACAGTTTGCTAAGGGTAAGGCATCCGGAAAGCTTTTAGTAAGTTTATTTGATGCAATTGTACATGTATTCTGAAATATAACTTTAACAAAGATTTCGTCTGTCGGAACACTCTGTTTTCTTCAAAAAGGGCAGAGTGATGCGTGTCCTGCTTTTGATTCCAGAAATGCTTCATTAATGTCATATATGATGTTTCCATATATTCAAAAGATTATATATAAAAAGTGAGGGAATTTCTAGAGTGGTTAGAAATGAAGGTACATGTATTTTTTAAAATACTCATGCTATAACACATTTATATTTTTACAAGTCTTGGGGTTGCCTAGATCATGTTCGAAAAGATTTTGGTTTTGCTTGACAAATCAAATGTAGAACTGAACACAGTTTATAATTATTTTTTCCTCAGAAGGTGTTAACAAGACAGCTTTGGTTGCATGGTTTAATTCAATATGCTCATAACTTTTTTTCAAATCCTTTCTTGTGAACCAGTAACTAAAATCCTAAATCTACAGAACAATGAAATTCTAAATTATCATATAATGCTTCTATTTACTGTTATATTTAGTATGAATTAACAAGTATCTTATAAATATTTCATAGGGAACCGTAACGAAATGGCAGCATTAATATACATTCCAGTGAAAACATATTTGAAAATTCAATTTTAGTCAACTCTATTTTTGAGAAATTTGGCTATATTCAAAATTAAAAGAAGTTGACGAAAACTTTGGAATGTCACAGTAAATTCTATCAGAGCTTGGTTGTTCCTGTTTATTTAAAACTATCATGCATCGACGTGTAAGCTTCGCCTCGCCCATGTCTGGTTATAAACTTTCTCTGAAAATAATTTGTTTACGAAACCATATGCCATAAATAAGTCCAATAGAATAACATACTAAACCTTCAACAAATATTGTTTTGTCAATAACATTCCACTGCATGCTGTAAATTATTTTAACCTTGGCGACATGAGTATATATGCAAATGAACGTAGGTATATAAGCATTTTTCTGTCTTACCTTGAGGCAAATATGAATTCAATTGTTACGTTCAGGACAAGTATTGCTTAGTCATCATTTCTATGTAGGGAGGGAAACTGTCCCATCGGTAAAATATTTCTCAAAAAATGCCATGCTTCTTCTTAAGTTTCCATCGACCCCTGGTGGTTTTAAAACAAAACAATCACGCTGGTTACACCTAAGAAATATTTAATATTCATCTGTAGGTTGGTTTACGGACGAATTATTTTACCATTGTTTTGCCGTGGGAAATTTAGCCTTCAAGACCTCTCATTAATTTTTGATGTCTTCTAACTTTCTATGCTAAAAGATATAAATGATTCAAATATATTGGAGTAAATTATGTAATTATCTGGAATTTTAAATGAATATTCAAGCTACGTCTTTTGATTGCGTAGTTATTGTTAAAACAGTATTTCACACGAGCACATTTATATTAATGAATGAATGAACTCAACGCCTTCATTTTCGATAGAAGTTTGAGCTGCCTCTCTCAGAAAACAAACAAACGAAGAAAAAAAAACACTAAACAAAACGAAGAAACACACACACACACACACTGCTTATAATATTAATTGTATTTTAGGGGTTGCGCCAAGGTCTTTGCTTACCTGTTGATATGCATTAACGAGAAATAACACGTGAGCGTTGGAATACCTTAATTTTGACTATAGATAACACAGTTTATGGAGAAGCTGCATTCAAGATAATGTACCTGGAATGAATAGATATTAGACTTTCTAATTATCATTCATAATACTGATGAAATAAATTCCCTGAAACACTGTTCACTCTGTGTGTGTATTGATATTAATTTTGAGGAAATACATGTATCCTCTGCTCTGAATTATTCAGATTTCTCAAGATGTTTATAAGTATTTTTTTTTAAATCCTCACAATGTAGCTACATGTATCCATGTATCGTATTCCTTTGTTTTCATTTCGTTCGTATTTTTAATTATTTTATATATATATATATATATATATATATATATATATATATATATATATATATATATATATATATATATATATATATATATATATATATATATATATATATTATAACAATTAAAACAGTTTTGGAAAATCACATTTAAGGATACGTATCCAAAGAAAACTAAAACTTCACAGATTTTTTCATATTCTTTCATATAATTTTTTTAGAATAAGTTTAGAACTTTTCTAAATTTAGAATTTTAGACCAAACCATTGCTTTGAAAAATCGCTTTGCAGTTATATATTTAAAAAAAATGCCCTGTAGAAAAGGGAGAAACATATGAAAACATACAGAGATTAATCAGAAATCCCTTCTAGGATTTATTGCCATAGCAACCGTTAAAAAATCTTAAAACATGTTACAAGGATCCTTTTCTACTATTTATTTTGGAGATATGTCACTTTTTAATTGCTCTTTTTAATTTAGGCCTAATGTATGTGTGATCAAAACGAATGAATAAAATTATATATGGCTTTTAATATTTAGTTTACATGGTTACGTATGTAACATGTTTTCCGAAACAATTCTATCATTCCAATTAGACAAAACGTTTTTAACTTATGGACACGGCCGCTTTCACTTTCCTACATTGTTGCTAAAGTTAGTTATGGATCTCGAAACATGCTCGAAAATGTTTTATTTTTAATCTTAGGACAAGTTGCCATGGTAACCATGATAACATAGCAAACATCTTTGTCATTTAGGTCTAGATTATGTCTGTATAAGCTGGTATAAGGGTCTCACAAAATGTTTGGGAAAAAAAGTTACATGTTTCACAAAATAGAATGATACGCTTTATTTTGAAATTACTTTGAACTTTAATCCGAGACAGAGTTTGTCTTATAAAGATTTTGAAACTTCTTTTATCCAGGTGTAAATGTAATTTACCTCGGGATCGGGATTATCTTGCAAATACGAAAGTAGATGTCAGCAGGATACAGAGCACCTGTTTTGACTTTTGTTAGACTGGTAATGGTGTTGCCTGTCTCTATCCTGTCGCGCATATCAGGCAGTCAAGGCCAGTATACTGTTTTGTATGACTTATCGCCTTTGTCTACTAATGGAAACTACTGACGACATTTGTAAAATATTCCATAGCTACAACTTTGAGGCTGATAGCGATTTTCAATCTGGAATTCAAACTATATTCCAACAATGTGAAAAGACGACAGAAAAATTACTTCAAGCTCAGTTGTTCTATTTCTCTAAGTAAGTTACTAAACTGCTATTTTTATATTAAATCTGTATATACCAACGATTAACATCAAAAGATTAATTTAAGTCTGTAGATAACGAGTTTAAAAGTAATTCTTAACTTATGTCTTAGAAAAGTGGACAGGCTTTAACTATGGGAATACCTCAGTTCACTTTGGATGTCTCATTTTCACATAATTGGGCTATACTGTCTCAGTATATGCAAAATTTGATCCATAATACAAAAATTTTCAGTATTTTCCTCGGCAAAAAGATGTAAAAAAGTGCAATATAATCTGAAACTCTGATTTATTTATTTAGTTATTATTTTTTTGAAAATATTATAAACCATGTACATGTAGTTTTCATATCATGCACATCTAAGTTAGATCCATTTCATTTTTAAAGGAAATATGGGAAGATTACAGACGTTGATTATAGAGGATGGCTGAAAGATAATAACCTGGAGAATCAGATAGGTGTAAACAAAGGTACAGTGTTAATTAATTCTTCTACAATCTACATGTATGCATTTTAATACAGTTTTTCAAATAAATTAAATGCAGATTTTATAATTAATTTTAAAACGCAAGTCTTTGCTTAAGGTATTCCCTCTCTGATAGCCTCAACTTTCTTGTTAAAAATTGTTTTGAATCTTTATTCTATTCAAAATCAATCTGATTAATCAATTTTTATGGTGGTAACTTTGAGGGAATATGGTTCCAAATGATTCTCAAAATTATGACTATGTGTGTTTGCATGGACTTATAGTTATTCTTTAAATATTATTTTTATGAGTACAGAATTTAAAGAAAGTATAGTAGTATCAAAACTTTCAAAACTAAATAAAAACAAAAGTACAAGTTTAGTTATGTTTTATTTCAGATCAGAACCCAATTGAAGAGAGTAAAATACACATAGAAAAGGAACAATCTAAAGCAAGTACTGAAAAGTCACCTAGATCAAATGTTTGTGAAGCAGGCGATATGGGCACAGATGGAACTAACGCATTAAACAACTTGGAAACTGTTGATTCTTGCCAACAATTAATCTCTCAAATAGTGCTGTCAGAGAAAGATGATGAAATCAAGACAGTTTTGTCTGAAAAAGAAACTGATGAGATGCCAATAGCTAGCTTTGGTCAGGTGGTGGAAATGATATCTAAGGGCCTACCCTTACCTGGTGTTACTGAATTGGATATAAAACCATTGGACATTGAACCAACAGTGACCAGAATGGAGCGGAGGCTCAAACCCTGGGAACAGGGATAACTTGGAGACAGAAGGGGAAAGGGGGGGGGGCTGTGTGGGTTTGGGGGGGGGGGGGGGTTGGAGAAGGAAAGAGTGTTGTCTTGAAGAACATTGTCAAACTAGGTAGAACAGATTTAATTGTAAAAAAAAAAAAAATGGATACTCACTGTATTTATTTATTCAGAATCTGTGTAATTTTTTTTTTAAAATGAATTCTTCTGTATAATCTCCTCAATAAATCGTGGCTAAAAATAATTTCTTGTTTGTAATAGTTAGTTCTTGTGACTAGGTCTGGGATGATACATACAGTTTTGAGATGATATCTGGATGCAATTACTTTGATACCAGACATATGTATCTTGATATTGAATAACTATAAAACTGAGAAAGAATCACTATTATCAATGTTTTTAGCTTAATTTCAGCAGGAGAAGGAAACCAAAATACTCTTGAAATCATGGTTTTATTTTCCACATGTATGCACTAGCTTTGTATAATGTTTTGATTCAAACTTATATTTTTGATTCAAACTTATTTTAATATTATTTCTTTTACATGTATTTCATTTTTATATCCCCCCCCTTGAAAAGGGGGGGGGTATATAGTGATAGGGGTGTACATGTACATCCATCTGTTCATTACACTTTGGGGTACACATCTCTTATCCAAAACTTCCTAAAATTTAATGATACTTTCACAGAATCTTTGTCACATAATGCTATTGTGCACCTCTTTTACTTTTTGATTGGACACATATTTTGGGTTTCCAATTGCAAACCATAGATGCTGCGATTCTTTCCATAATATTGAGGGGTACCCATATCTTATCTGCAACTCCTGTTATAACACTGAATAAAATTTAATGATGCTTTCACAGAATCTTTGTTACATAGTGCCATTGTGCACCTCCTATTTCACATTTTGATCAGACACATATTTCGGGTCTCCCTTAGCAAAACATGGACTTTGCCATTATAATCATATGGGAGGCCGGGATATCATTTTTTGAGCTCAGTGCTCACAGTACCTCTAGTCTTAATACTGTATTGTCCTTTTAGAAATTGAACTTAAACAAAATAAAAAAAAATAACAAGGTATTTAAAATAATTTAATTTATAAAAAAAAATTTTGTTACAAATGTACCTTTTTTGCCAATATTACTGCAATAATACAAGATGTGTTTGTGAAACATTGATGTCCCAAAATCAACGGTTAAGATCATGAGGTCATAACTGTTGGTACCAAAAGAAAGGTTTTGTCACAATGAATACACATGAAATATGAAAGCCCTATCACAAACCATTCAGGAGTTACAGAAGTTTCAAAAGAAGGTCAAACTCCAAGGTCATGAGGTTAAAAATGTTGGTCTAGTCACAAGGATTTGATTAAAACACATTTTATTGATACATAATCAACTGGAGTCCCAAGGATTACACTTGTAAAATATGAAATTCAAAAGTTATGGCCAAGGTTAAAGTTTTCTTTTCAAAAAGTGGGGAAGATTTCAAGGTCAAGGTCATAAGGTCAAAAATGTTCGTCTTGTCACTCACAAGGAGTACATATTTGAAATATGAAAGCCCTTAAACACCTACCCTTTAAAAGTTATGACCAAGGTTAAAGTTTTTGCAAACAAACAGACAGACAGGCGGACCAAAAACTGTATGCCCCCGAATCTTAGATTACAGGAACAGGAAAAAACATGATTAATTTTTAAAAAGTTTTGGTTGAAATACGTCTTTTTTTGTAAAATTTTAGCATATATTGTAAAGAATACTAGTATTTTGGGAGAGAAGATGGATATGTATTTGGGATATCATCCCAACACTACTAATTGTGACTAATCAGAGAAACTAGAACTTTCAACTTCAACGTGGATACTCGCGAAAATCCAATAAGGACATTTACTAGCGAGGATTATGTACTTGCGTGCAATGTCCAAATGTAGAAAAGGTTGCTCCTTAAGACCTTAACAGATATGTACACTGTACAGGTCACTGTATATTAATAAATAGGGTGAGTATTCCAAGGTTGGAGGTTCTGGATAGATGTTTTAAACTGCTCCAACGATAGTGAAAGTATGGCTGATTCAGGTAAAGTGTTCCAGTAGTTGATGGTTCTTGGGAAGAATGATTGTTTGTAAATGTTAACTCGGCAGTGGTAAGGTACAAATTTCAGGCAGTGACTGTTTCTAGTTCCTCGTACTGTTGCTAGCGGGGGGGGGGTTAGGGGGTTATGATATTTGGACTGCTATAAGTTGGTTGACTACTTTATACATGAGTGTTACATCAGTCCAAATACGTCTCTGTTCTAGAGTGTTTCATTTGAGTTCCTGCATCATAGATGTTACACTGTCTGGTTTTTCTGGGTTGTAAGGTTTGTTGTTAACGAATCTTGCTGCATTTCGTTGTACTTGTTCAATCTGTTTCTGTTGTGTTTTCTGTTGTGGATTCCATATTGGTGTTGCATACTCTAACTTTGGTCGAACTAGGCTCTGGTATGCCTTTTCTTTGACCTTTGGTGGACAATGTCGAAGGTTGCGCTTCAGGAATCCCAACACACTATAAGCTTTCTTGCAGATGTTGTCTATGTGTAAGTTGTACTTCAAGTTATTACTGAGTTCAACTCCTAAGTATGGATGGTGATCTACTATCTCGAGTGACTCCCCCTCCATGATGTAGTTGAAGGCTTTCTTCTTGTTGATGTTCCAAACTGCATGATAGCGCACTTCTTGATGTTAAATTCCATTTGCCAGGTGTCACTCCAGTTCACTAGTGTATTCAAATCTCTCTGTAGTTGTTCATGGTCTTGTTGGCAATGTACGGGTCTGTAGATGACACAGTCATCTGCAAATAATCGAATAGTTGAAGTGATGGTGTCTGCAATATAGTTAATAAAGATAAGGAACAATGTTGGCCCAAGCACAGTTCCTTGTGGGACCCCAGATGTTACGGATGTTGTGCTAGATGTTGCGTTATCTACTACTACCTGCTGTGTCAGTCTTTCAAGAAGTCGTTGATCCATCTCTGTGTTGTTCCCTGGATGCCGTAGTATTGTAATTTCTTCGACAGTCGTATGTGTGGAACTTTGTCAAACGCTTTTGAAAAGTCCAATATTCCCATATCAACTTGCCTTCCTTGGTCTAGGTGTTTGGCGATGTCATCAGTTGTCATCAGCAGCTGGGATTCGCATGATCGTCTAGCTCGAAATCCATGTTGGTTTTCATGTAGGATATTTCCTCTGTCTAGATGGTCCATGATCTGAGAGACAATGATATGCTCTAGCATTTTGGATATGACAGCTGTGAGTGATACTGGTCTATAATTTGCAGGTGTTGTTCTATCACCTTACTTATAAATTGGAACTATGTTCGCATTTTCCAGTCTGTTGGTATTTCTCCTCTATCGAATGATTGTTGAAATATATGTGATATTGCTGGTGTTATGATGTCGACTGTTTGTTTTAAGAATGTGATGGGTATCTTATCTGGACTACTTGCTTCCTTCTCGTTTAGGCGTTGAATGCTCTTTCTTACATGTACACCTGAGTCCGAGATGGTGATATTTCTCATTTGAGCGTATGGTGAGGACCCTTTTCCGGGATATTGTTTATGTCCTCCTTGGTAAATACTGATGTAAATTGTTCATTTAGTATGTTTGCTTTTTCCAGTGGTGTTTCTGCTATCTTCCCTTTAGCTTTCAGTGTTCCTGTTCCTATAGTATCTTGTTTCCGGGCTTTGATGTATTTCCAGAAGTTTTTGGATGTTGTATCCTCTTTTGGGTCTAATAACGTGTTCAGATATTTATGATATGATGAATGAATCATATTCCGTACTAATTTCCTATATTCTTTAAAAGATGTTGACTGTCTGCTGTTTTTTCCATGTTTCAAAGCTTGTTTGTAAATCCGCTTTTTCTTTCGTATCATTCGCTTTATCTCCCTTGTCATCCACGGTACATCAGCCTTTTTCTTCACTGCCTTTTTTTGGGAATCCATGTGTCCAGAACTCTGAAGACCGCATCCTCAAAGTAGCTCCAGTTTTCCTCTATTGATTGTTTAGCCATATCTTCTGAATTAAATCTATTGCACAAATCGGACGTTACTCTTTACTTCCCCCAGTTAGCTTTTTTATAGTTATAAACTGTTCGATTGATCTTGGTAGACTTTATTGGTTTGAGTGTTGCTCGAATAGCTAAGATGCCATGGTCAATCAATCCGATTGGTGGGCACGTGTAGACCTTTTCAAGAAGGGTTGGATGTGATGTTATAAATAAGTCTAAAGTCCTATCCTGGCGTGTTGGTAATGTAGTGTCTTGGTCCAGCACATAACAGTTCATATTAGTTTATCACAGTGTGATTGATCTCTGGCTCCCAGAGTGCTACAACCCATGGTCCAGTTATTATCCCCAAGGTTGAAATTTCCTCCCGGAATATTTTGCAGTTCTTATATTTATCTGACTTGAATATTTTAGACAATGATAAATCGAGTTTTTGCAAAGCTTCAATCGATGACTTTAACTTGGTAGGTGTCGATGATGAGAATATGTCCCTCGACTAATTAAGTTTTCATTATTTTTTTTAATGAAAAAAAAATCAAGTTGAAAAATAATGAAGGCATTGTAGTTCCATTATCATCAACCTATGAATTTCTTAAAGTCTAATAAATATTGAATAACCCTTTTTCTCTGTTCTGCAATCAGACAATGTTGATAGCAAAAATGGCCAATTTTGTTGTTTTTGCCTGACGCCACGTGCGTCAGGCAGTATAAGGATTAATATTTCAGGGATCCGAAACTAAGCGATCATTCTTAATGAACTAGATTTTGTGCAAGCTGATTTACATCGGAATTTGTTACCTGCATTTAAACAAATACAGTGTGCAGAAGAAAGAATCACATAACTGATGCAAAATGATGATGTGTTTAATTCCTTCAATTTTTTTGCATGTACATGTTTATTCTTTGCGATTCTTTGTACAGACATGTCCGTGTAACATTTTTTCTGCGTTTCTAAACTACTGGATCAGTCCATTTGGCTTCTATGAAAGGGGTGACACAATCATTTCGCACCAAATGTCACATGTAAATTATCTTCGCGCCTTTTTCTTGGGTTTTTCTATTGAATGGGTGTGATAACTTCTATGGAAATAAAGTTTATTCTTTTAACATGATTCTTAAGCTCCAGATTTTTTATTAACAGTAAATTTTATCTCATTTTTTTTTAGAGAACATATTGTATATGGACAGGCAACACTAAAGCAATGGATTTGCTGATTATTCTTACTATTTATCCAATAAGTGGACTAGTCTAATCATAAACAAACTCCGGCCCTCCACCTAGTAAATGGGACATCCCTTCTTGATTCAGTCTGTTTTCCACCTAGCCTTTTTTTCAATATTACATATATTAATAATGTACGTTACAAGGTTAGGTTTTTAAAAATGCTTAGAAAGTCATGACGCGAGTAGCATCTTATTTCATGCTTTGTGATGAACAAGGGTTTCCTTTTAATACAGTGACAATAGTGTAGTCAGTAGCCGTAGCGGAATGGGCTTCACTCCCGTAATGTTCTAAGTAAAGAATCGGCAAAATGAAGAAGACATAATGATCTGTACTGGTTTTCATTTCATAAAAAAGCACGTTATTATAAATATGAGAAAGGTCCTGAAATCGATTGAAAAGAAAAACTAAACAATTTCAAAACTGTATATAAATATGTATTTTAAACTCATTTATAATACATGTATATGGTAAGACCATCATCGTGTGAGTTTTGTCCGGGGAGGGGGGGGGGGTTATTAGTATCTTGTTTTGCGCTAGTTATAAAGTGTACAGGTCATTTACTTGGATTTCTAGAGCAGCATTGAAGCATTTTTGTCTCAAACACTTCAAGACAACTTTCTCAGTTAAAACTGTTCATAATTTACTTCGTTGTCGAGAACGACGGAAAACAGACCAGTCTATAAATAGAGGCCGTCATCACTGACCAGGGAGTGTGCATGAAGAAGCGCGCCCTCTAGTAAGAGAGTACATGTAATATGAATTTCTTTAAAAAGAATCATCTATCTATTTTTTCCTCAGAATTATCAGTGGCGGATCCAGGAATTTCATAACGGGAGGGCGCAGTAGAAGGCAGGGGGTCTGGGGGGCTGTATTGAAACCCCAGTGGGTCCAGGGCAAAGCCCTGATGGGGGTTCGGGGGCGAAGCCCCCGGAAGCTGTCGAATTCTTACAAATAAGAGGTGTTTTTTCCTTGATTTTAGGATAATGAACATGTAAGTTCTACATACAAAAAATTCAAACGGGGGGGGGGGGGGCACGCCCGGCGCGCCGATGCTGGATCTGCCTTTGATTATGATCGACGCTAGCGCACTTGCAGTTTTATCCCAAGGTAACTAGTCAGCCCGTGGGCTAACTAATAAATGACCAAATAGTGGCATATCTTAGATATTCGTTAATCTGTAGTATTTGGTTATGACATTTAAGAAAGTCAATTGTACATCTTGTGTAATGAAGTATCGCAACTATGTCGCTCCTTGATGACGGAAACATTTAGCACCTCTCTTGCATATACGTTCCATAGATATTGACTGATTAGTCAGGAAAGCTTTTTGAAAAGCTATTACTTGTGTTTGTTTTAAAATTTATTTATTTTACAAATGGTTTTTTGGTGTTTTTCGAAAAGATATAGCTTCAAGATGCTATTTGGAAATTTTGAATCATTTCTATATGAAATCAAATCATGTTCCTTTTAAAGCGATTAGGAATCAAATATGTACAACTTACTATTGAAAAACACGGGGATAGTGTCAAGAGTTCATGAAATCCTGTCCTTCTTGTACATTTTACCCGCTTTCCGGTGCATGCAGATGCCTAATGCTACCATACAACCTTTCAAAACAATGATTGTGTATGATCCTGATCACAAAACGTGTTGAGTTATTCATCTCGTATTCAAGCTTTATTTCATGCCCTGATCGCACCCCCAATATCCTGAATTACCGGAAGATGGGCTTTGACTATATTTTCGTATTCTGTATTAATGTGTTATAGAATAAAATGTAAACCTATTGCACACTATCCGTGAAATGCACAAGTTAATTACTTTTACAATTTAAACACATAAATATATATACTCAAATCTCAAGTTTTTTTTCAATTATCCGAAACCATTCGACGAAATTCGGAATGGAGATTTGACAGTAAGTTCGGGAGACTTCAAACAATGCCACTGCATTGCATAGGAGAAAGAAGGTAGGAATGTTTTTACGTAATTGCAATCAAACGTAAAAGAATGATTTTATATAACAAGGAAAGTGATTTTTTTTCACGAAAAACGTGTAGGTTTAGCTAATTATGTTAACATAATTAAGCTATTGCTACATTAATATGATACACTGGACATGCCATTTGTGTTTTCATTGAAATCTTGCGGGCTGTGGGATAAGGCAAGGTTAGAGCATGTGTACCTTTCTAAGTTTTTTTTATCTCTCTGATTTCCAGAAACACTTCTGAAGATGATGCTGACACAACATGTTCAATGTGGACTGATATACCAGAGTCATTACTTCTTCATATATTCTCATATCTAGAGGCAAACCATTTGATTTCTGTGTCTCAGACATGCAAGGTATATAAATACTTATTTTTAATGAAATATTTTGAATTGAGTCTAAGTTAGAGGAGTACAGATACAAAGATTGGGACCAATCGCCCAAAATGGGATATAATGGCTCATTTGGGTTATATAATATCCCAAATGGGATATAAATTTACAGTGCAAAAATGAAATTTTTTCAGTTATCTATAAATATTATAAATCTGTATCAGAATACTTAAAAGAAGCAATAACTTTTGGTAAACAAGTTTTTCTATATATATCCCCACTGTTCAGGAGATTGATCCCTTGGAAGATCCTAAACTTCTTGGGGATCAATCTCACAAACAGATTTCACAAACAGTAGGGTTATAGAAAACCGTTCTTGCCGAAAGTTATTGCATTCATTTTATATTAATGCAGATTTACAATATTCATAGCCAAAATAAATTTTTCATTTTTCTGCACTGTAAATTTATATCCCAATATTATATCCCAAATGGGCTATTATATCCATTTGGGCGATTGGTCCAAACCTGATAAAACCAATAAGATTTGTGTAATAGAAAGAAAAGTTATATTAATTTGACCCCCCTTTTTTTTGGGGGGGGGGGGGGGAATAAATGTTCAAGTTCGGATAAAACGCTGTTTATTAAAAAAAAAATAAGAACATGAACAGATTAAAAAAGTGAAAAACACTACTCAGCATAAATTTAAGAGTATATCAAATTGTTTGTATACATGTATTTAATGGTAAAATTTTATCAAGAACTGTGTTTACAATAATTACTAAATTTATTTAGTAAATCAGTTATTCTTGTAAGATTTTCTCTATAGCCACTCTATACGGTACAACAGTTTTACTAAGAAACAAATGTTGGAGAGGATAGGGACAGGATGATGGGTTTAACTCACTTTGTTAATTTTGTTATTTTGAAGAAATGGTACCAAGAGTGTAGGGCTGCTGGGTCTTTCACTACAATGCAGTGTGTCATGTTTAACTTTCAAAAATAAATATTATTGATGAATATCATAATGAGGCAGTGTTTTAGAATAAAATTCCATTTTTGTAGTAATTGATTGCTTTTCATTTATCCCTTAAGCAAACCACATTGGTTTTAAAGAAAAATGACACCTGCAGGCATCAAAATCAATTACTTGTAGATATGGTGTCGTGTAGCTTATGATGAGAGTCTGTGGAGGGCACTATTATGGAGAACCTGGGACATATATGGAGTGACCCTTCCCCCAGGGAGGGACAGCTGGTACCTAGAGTACAGACGTCTTCACTACAACTGTCCTGTGATACTAACCGAGGTCCTGAAGGATCACAGTGATGAAGTCCTCCATGTCAGCTTCTCACACGGTGGCGACATGTTCTCCACAACATCCAAAGATGCCTCCATTAAAGTAAAATACAATGTAACTGATCAGTCTTATGGTGAAAACTTAGAACTGATAAGTGCATGAATATTGTCATATTTATGTAGTTGATGAAAAATATTGTATTCATTGATCTTTTTTTTTTAATCATTTTTCAAAGGTTTGGCAGGTAGGATATCCTACTATTCTCAAGTACAGTAGGGATTTCCGAGAACTGCTGGCTTGGGACTTTACACAGTTTTCATGCTTCAACAAAAGTGACACGATGCTTCTAGTCTCTAGTGTCAAAACCACAGACTTCTTGGATAGAAGGGGATTTGTGGCCATTTTGTCTCTTGTGCATAGTAAGCTGTTTCTTGCTTCATAAACTACATTTTCCACTTTCATCTAGAAGAAATATATACACAACATATAGTTTCCACATTGGATAAATCCTTTCTTACTGTTTACTGTATTATTATTTCATGAGTGCATATTTAACCATAAAAAAAATTATCACAATCCACATGTTCTTTATTTATTTTCAAGATTTACAGATTTTGAGAGTTGTTTCAATGGATCCATCTCAGTTGTTTGGAGCATGGTTAGATGATAATACATTCCTAGGGGGATACTTAGAAATAAGCCTAGATAGATTTGCAACAACTGTTCAGATTGAATCATTTCAGGTTCAGTATATTTCAGATTGAATCATTCTGTAATCAGTACACTACATAAAAATTTAGTGTGTTGTGAACTTATGAAGCCATAATCTTTATTAACATCTCATTCTGTTTCCTCAGGTTGATAAAAATGTACCATTGCCAAATGATTCTCCTCCTGTAGTGGAGGAAGGTGTTGGACAGAATTTATTCACATTCTCCAGTGAAACAGCAAGTCTCATCAAATTTTTGACTGTAGCTAATATTACAAACCAAACTGCAATGGAAGCAGCAGCATCTCAACCCAAAGAAAGTTGCAAGGAAAAAGACATATACACAGGAAATGAGGAATCCTTAGATACTGAAAATATGTGTTGTAACTGTAACAAAAACCAGAATAATCATAATTTGGGAGCTTATAATAGTGAAGGCAAGTGTATCTGTGAACGGACTTCTTGGGAGGGTTCGAGAAATGCAAAGAGGTCTGAGTCGTGTGTATTATCCACCAATTGTACTAAACTTGAGGGTAGTGGTTCATTATCCACGTGTACCAAAGTAGAGGATAGCAATTCAACACCAGCTGTTGAAGAAGATTCATCTGTTAAGAACTTGATATTTGTGACAGGAGAGTTTGCAGTTGCCCTCCATCAATTAGGTATTAAGAATGTCAGCACAGATACAGCGTTAAAGCAGACATCCTCTCAAAATGAGAAAGAGTCAGAAGAGATGGAGCTTGGTGAGGAAAGTCACCACATGGTGGTCAACTTCAGTAATAATGATATTCATGTGCAACCGGTCAGAAAATCAGACAAACCGGATCATTTAATTGACCTTTTTGGACATGTGACTGGACTCTGTTTATCAAGTGATAATAGGTAAGAATTAATGTGCAAACTTTATGAATAATTCATAATCCCAAATTTTCAAAAGCATTTTACACTGTAATTAGTTTATCAGAGCCAAAAGTTTTGATTGAAGAGTGTCTGTTGTCTGTCTGTCTTGTGTGTCCTCAGTAAAATTTTACATTTTCAACTTCTAAAGAAATGCTGGGCCAATTTCAGCCAAACTTGGCATAAATTCTTTTAATGAAAGAATTACAAATTCTTTTTTTTTTTCAAACGAAGAGCAATGTCTCTTTCTCAAGGGGTTAAAGAAGTGAAAATGGGTGGGATTGTTTAAAAATATTCTAAAGAACCACTGGACCAGAAAGTCCAAGCTTGCTAATGTAGTTAGATTAAAATTTGATCAAATCTTGGGTCCTTGGACTAGGGTATAGCCATTGTTATAGGTATTCCAAGTTTTATATGGGAACATATAGGGGAAAAAACCTTTTAACATCTTCTCAAGAACAGTAAAGCCAATTTAAGCATCGCATATTGTTATATATAAGCATCTTCATGCAGTCAGTTGTAGATTCATGTTTGTTCAAATCATAACTACGGGCTATGGTGGGGTCACAATTAATATAAAGGAAATAATTTATACAAATCTGCTCAAGTACTGTAGTCATTTTGATATACATGATATACAAGCATCTTCTAAAGGACAGAAAGGCTTCAACTTGTCATGTCAATAAAGCATGCCTATGAAGTATAGATGCTTTATTGTTTTAATCATGGCAACTGGAGCAAGGAAAGGTCCATAATAGAGGGTCAAGTTTTTTGTGGGATTGCATAGAAAAATCTTGGAAAAAATCATCGTCTCAAAAAGCAGTACTACAATTAGTCATACAGTAACTCGTTTAGTATGAACACAGATATAGCCAATTCACAGATATAACAAAGTTTTTTGGGATCCCCAGCAAAATTCTTAACAAATACTAGGAAAATGTTATGGTTATAATGAACTCTGATATAACGAATTTACAGATACATCAAACTGATCTTCTGTCCCATAGAGGTTAAAGATAATGCAAATTACATCGTTTATTATGAATTTTCATTATCTTAAACTTCAAAATATTAAACTGACATTATTTTTTTTATAAGTATTTAAATTTGAAATTCAATTCCTCAGAAATATTTAGGACCCCAAGTAAAATTTTAAATGTTAAAATTTTGCATTAAATACCTCCCTGATCATATTTGGTATTCATACTTAAAGGAAAACATGCATATTGCGAATACTTTATATATACTTTAAGGAATTCTTTATACGGATATAATGAATTACTGATATTGCGAAGTAAATTCACAGGTCCCTAGGACTTCGCTATAACCGAGTTTTACTGTATTGGTATGCAAGCATCGATCCCCACATTTTTTAAACACATTGCCTCAGGGCCAGTCCTCAATTTGGAATAAAGAAACATATTGAGATTCACAAGCACAAAAAGGCAACAACATGTAGCCTCAATATACTGGAAATTTAAAAAAAAATTGAGGATTTTCATTATCTTAATGGAAATGTTTATTTGTCATGAAAAGAATGGTGGCTCAGTGAGCATTTTGTGTTTATTGTTCGTGTTTTGCTGTTGCAGATATTTATTCTTAAACTATCGTCCATGGATTGGTAAAGTGGACAGAAATGACCCTTGGGCAACCCCTGACCTTTCACCCTCTATTGAGGTCTTGGTTATTGACTTGTTGACACTAAAGAATGAGGGAGTGCGTTATGTTGGTCACAAGGGATACTCCCCCTCTACTATGTGCTGCTTTGTATTTCTGGATGTTAGTCAGGATTATGTTGGAAGGTAATGAAGACCGGTATTATTAGCTTTGAATGAAAATGTTGTATACAGGGCTATTTTGCCCCATTTTTATTTTCACTCTATCCACTTGGAAACTGTGATGCCTCCTTCCTCCCTTTTAAATTTGCCCATGTGCAATGAGTGCTAAAGGGGGGAAAATAAAACGGGGGCAAAATTTTCTCTGTATACAGTATCCTCAGGTATTACTATTTTAGATTTGTCCACAACATTGCCCTTTGGACAAATTTGGAAATTTGTTAAGGCCCTCAAATTAGTAGATGAAAAAAAGAGCATGTAAAGATATTTCTTTGTGATATTTGGGTAAACAATTGAACAGGGCTCATGGGCTTCTTGTTTAATGTAATGCCATTGGGGATTTGTTCTAATCATTGCACATTCTAAACATTTTATAAACTTTTATGGCTTTTAGCGGCAGTGAGGATGCCCGAGCGTACCTCTGGGACAAGCACTACAGAAACAACATTGCAGTATATGAACATTCTTGGGGTGTGGTGAATGCTGTGGGATTCAATCCTGCCAACCAGGAGTACATGGTGACTGTCAGCGATGATAACACCATCAAGATCTGGAGGTCAAGGTCAGAGGTCAAGAAGCTAGGCCCTCTCTTAGATGGTAATTCCACCACTCAAGTTGAAGCAGACAAATGTGTGAGAAAGACATGGATGTGTGAAAATGCTCATGCATCCCAGGAAACCTGAATAAATTGCTTTTCCAGGACTTTCTGTGATCTTGTGAATCATTGGCAAAAAAAAAAAACAGAATTAGATAAACCAATTAGTCTTTCCTGTTGAATTAATGATGCATGACATTCTTTACTGTGACAATTAATAATTATTGCATCATGAGTTTGTAAGACATGATATCCCACATTATGCCAAATTAAAGGATGATTAAAATGGTCCTGTAATTTTCTCCTTTCAGGTATTCAGCAATTGTTAAATTTCTGTAATAATATAGTGCATACTTTAATAAGAAAAAATATTTCCTGTTTATGAGTTTCAAAAGCCTTCAAACCATGAAATTTTTGTAAAAAAGGGCATGTTAAAGGAAAGATTCAAATCCTTACCCTATGGGAAGGATGAGTCCATGATAAATGATCATTTTTTTTTACAGTGATATTTGTGGGAAAAAAAACTTTTTATGTGGAAGAAGGGCCACAATTTGGCACATTTATATGCAATACCTCATGAGTGTAGATTCAGGCTTGTCCAAATCAAGGGTTCCAGGGGTCAAAACATAACAGAGGATTTAGTAGCAACAGGTCAATTATAAATGTTAAAATCTTATTACTTTAATTTGATGACAGCAGTAACCAAGGGATTTTATTTATGTATACTTTAGTCAAAAAGAGAAAGGTGTATCAGACGAGTTTTACAATCCATGAGACTCTTGTTACATAACATTAAATTAATACAAGTATTTTATTTTTGCTTTGGAATAAAAGCCCTTTTTAGACATACATTATACAGATATATCATGTACGAAATACGTCAGTTTAAAAGGAATTGGTAATCAAGCAACACGTAACTTTTAATGAATCAAAGGTGTGTCTGCTGCTTGGCTTTTTATTGTGGACTCCAACTGAAATTAACAGTATTTAAAAAAAAATAGAGAACTGCCTCAAAAAGCAAGGAGAAGAAGGTCCTAAAACATTCACTCAACCTTTTAAGACATTCGTGATTTCGGCCAAAACACTGTAAAAGTGAAATTAACAAATATAATTTGCAGAAATTTGCTACTTTTTACTTTGTTCTTGTTGATTGGAAATGTTTAGAATAGTTACATTGCCTTTTTGATCGTTATTGTATTTTATTCCACTCGTATCTGTTTTAATTTGTGGGGTGTCTGAGGTAGATCCGTATGTACTTATGTATTCTTTTTCTGGCGTTTTTATCTGGGTATACGCTGACTTGGCCCATTCTTGTTCTTTTCCAGATCCAAATACAGCAAAACATACCACAGCAAACAAATGTATTGATCCTGTAATTACCAATATCCGTGTCCAAGACTCTGCATTCTTAAAGGAAAAAAGTACACTAACTTCAAACAACTTTAAGCTTATACTTAAATTTCTCTCTCTCTCCCCCCCCCCCCCCAAAAAAAAAATACAACAAAACAAAACAAAATAAAACAAAATTCGATGGAAGCCGCGTCGGTGCAGACATTTGCCCCTTTGTAGAATTTTCATGCTGATTAAATTTAATAAAATATTTCCCATCCCCTTTGAAAAATATGTACATATTACGGTTGTTGTGCTATGTTAATTTTTAAAATTCTTTGGTGGTGATGTAATTTTTTTTAATTCATTTTTACCGCCCAGTAAATTCAAAATTTACAAAATGGTAAACGCACTCCGAGAAAACTAAATTGTAATGAATGCATCTGAGGCAAAATAGATTTCTTTTATTAAATTTTGCTTGTTATATACACGTATCAGGTCTTTATTTGGGGAAGGGGGTACATGTAGTTCTCATTAGATATGCACGCGGTCTTTTCCCAGAAAGAAATGTAGATTTCGTGTGTAACAGTAGAGAACACTAGATGAAATCCCGTGCAAGCGCGGGGAATTGAATCTATACTACTACCGACAGAAAATATTTTGTAGTTTCTACTGACAGCCTACAAGCTTATAGCAGGAAGAAATACTTTGTTCAAAATCTCGCTTGAAGTAAATGCACGTCTCCACCCCCACCCCACCCCACCCCCCTTTGTAAAAACTTGAAAATTAACAATTTCATTAATTGACGTTTATTGTGAAACCTGTTATACTATGTTATGGATATTGTACTTCAGATATTCTTATTTCATTTCCGTCAAGTATAAAAGCACTGAATCTGCACATTTTACTGGTAAATTGATTTGGAGGGGGGGGGGTGTTAAAATTCACAGGTACTTGGGTCTTGGTTTATAAATATGTTTATACATTACTGATATTTAGATAATGTACTATACTTTTTTTTACATATCAATAAGGTACGTACATATTTATAAACCAAGACTCAAGTACCTGTGTAAAATTAGCTTTTAACGCCCTATAAATAGGCCGAGTATTTGATACAAAAGACTGTTTTCAAAAAAAAAAAAAAAATTAAAAAAAAATGAAATGTATTGATTAAAGCACACAATTTTACATCTTTAATTGTTTTTGTACAATACTTTATTCAATAATTTTCTCTTTACATGTAAGCAAGTTTATTACGAAGTACAAATTGTACTTCGGGTTCGTTGCCACGACGCTCTCAGTAAGGAATATATACAAATTTTACCGATAAATTTATTAGGAAAACCTACTACATATATGTATATATATGTAATGGTCTTTCGATATATAAATATATTCACAACTTATAGTGTTATCAATGATTTACCATTATTTCAATGACCATTCACACAAAAGCTTTTTTCAGCTATAAGCGCCTCGGTTTTTTTTTAACATCGGACTCGATGCTATATGATGTTCTAGAAGCTTCCGTCAATATTAAGATCGGTGAATGACGAAAATAATTTGCACATTTCCCTTTTTAATCGGTTATCACAACTTATTTCTTTTATATAATTTAAATCAAGTTTTGATTGAATAATTCAGTGATGACGTTTTATGAAATAAATAAACGATTGCTTGTTGTCAGTTTCATTAAAAATTGCCAGTAACTTAGATCCGCCAACCGGAAACGCCACCGTACTCACGTTTTTGCTATTTCATGGCTGTTTATAGAAAATAAAAGTAGACTTTTAATTTAATGTACGATTCTTACTATGCAAGTGAAATCTAAATATAGTTTACGGACATCATCTTGTATCTAGTGTATTGTTAGAGGAGTAAGTAAGAACTCTGGTGCACCCGTTTCGGAGTTTATTTGCAAAATTTATTAATTTATAAGTATAGATAATTAAAATATCAAACTTTAAAATATCAAGGTAAAATTTACGACCTCTCTTTGATTAACTTACAAAAATGCGGAAACTTGTCAGTTGCCATATACACCGTACCTTTTGTCTGAGGGCTCCAGCCATGGCTGTACTTATGGTAGCACCTAACAAACCTAGTCTCACTAGCCCCACCAGAACACTGGAATATTGAGGTGCCAAGTCTACTGGATTTACCTGATAACCTAAGAGTCAAATAGTGCCATTTTTTAGATTGGTTATTTAAGAATTAAATAAAACGACTCTGCTTAATATCAGAAATTTTCACTACACCTTAAATTCTCGTGAGCGTTATTTGGTATATATGCGCGATGAAAATTTTCATAAATTTTGATTATTGTTGATTATAATCCTTTATAATGCGCGAGAATAAAATTTCTCTATCAGATAGGCTCGCAAAATTACGCGAATATATTTTTCTTGCGAATAAAAAATGATATATAATAAGTACCGGTGCGCTTCCTTTACCTGCAGTTCCAAGGCCCGCCAGTCCTTCCCCTATTATTAATAGGAAACTCGCTACAGCATAACTTCTGACAAAACCCAAAACTAAGATGACGACAGCCTCAGATCCAAACCCTTAAAAATGCAAATTAAGTCTTCGAAAAAATAAAACGAAAGATTCTTGATAATGTAGCATTTATTAAATCAGCACAATAATTTATATAGATTCATTGCTTACCTACCGATTGAAATTGCCAATTTTCGACCAAAAGTGACTGATATTTTTCCTCTTTTGATTAATTTGTCGAAAAAGATCCCACTAGATATCATAGAAACGGCCATCAGAATTGGAGGAAAACCTGTTAGGAATCCAATCTGAGAGAAAGATAAAATTGAAACTTGCTTCTTTCACTAATTAACAATTTTCATTTGCCAATGAGTACATGACTAATTGTAATTGTCGTGTATTCATCATTTGAATTTCTAATAATTCAAAAATTAGTAAACGGTATTTGGAAAAACAGTTACATTAGGAACACATAGAATTTGCATTTTGCTTTTAAACTACTGTCGTATGCCTTTATTTTATATTGTTTTACCGATGCCACGTTGAGTCCAAAGACATCAGCGAAGTACTGAGGTATTTCAGTCATCATTGTAGCAAGAACCCAAGACCGTGTAAAATTAAGGAGGAATAATACCCAAACAGGAGGGGATGTGAAGATTCGTGTCCAAGGAACGTTTTTAGCCTTTATTAAAGATAAGATTGTCCAAATTAAGTTTTTTTGATTCATTTCTAAAGTAAGTCGCCACATTTTTTCATTTTGATTTAAAAATAATCTCACCACAGCTGCAGATGCAACTTGAATATGAGAACCTTCTTCCTCGAAAATGCAACTTTCTTTTTTGTCTAAAGAGGGATGAAGTGTTGGACTGTCGTAAATTGTACAGAGCCAAAACAGTGACCACGTGATGCTTAAACTACCTGTAAAACTTTCAAAATGATATGATTTCTATGTATCCGTCCGTCTGTTCGTCCAGTTGCGAGAACTAAGTATGGTAATTTTCGTATCTTTTACACGTAATAAAACGGAAGAAGTATATTGCAGGACTATTCTGAGTTTCTGACTCTGGTAATCAATATACAAGTTCCTTTGGATGGAACGTCAAATTAACATATATATATAAATATTTGCACCTATTTTCAAATATTTGTACCTATCTTCGAATGATTTGAAGAGAAGTACAATTCAATTAAAGTAAATGTAGATCTAAATGAATTAAAATTATTCCTGTTTTAAATAATTGAACCTAGGTTCCAATGAATTACATCTGTATGTTTTTTTAATTCAGTTACTGAAAGGATCAATTCAATTATACTTAAGTTTAAATCATTTGATAATAGGTACAATTGATTTAAAGATAGATACAATAAAAAAATCACCACATTTGACTTGAAGCTAGGTACAAATAAATAATACTAAGGTTCAATTCAATTGCAACTAATTTTAAATCAATTACACCTATTTTTAAATCTTCTTATTTGTACCTATCTCCAATTCTATTAAATCTATCTTCAAGAAGAACAATAATTCAAACATAGGTACAAATATTTGAAGGTAGGTATAAATCAAGTACATGTATTTCTATCTTTCTTTAAATAATTGAACCTATCTCCAAATGAATTGAAAAAAAAAGTTATAATTGAATTAAAACTAGGTCAAATTGAAAAGATAGTTGTAAATAATTATGCCTATCCTTAAATAATTGAACCTATAAGTTCAAATGAATTTTACTTATCTTTAATTCATTCATACCTATCTTGAAAATTAAAGATAGGTTCAATTGAATTATACCTATTTTCTTAATCATTTGAAGATAAGTACAACTGATTTGAAGATAGGTACATTTCAATGAAAGATACGTACAAGATGAAAGATGTAAGCCAAGGATTTTAAGATAGGTACAGTCAATTTATTTATGCTTAGGTTCAATTCAATTGCACCTATCTTTAAATCATTTATACCCATCTTTAATTCTTAGATTTGTACCTATCTTCAATTCAACTATACCTATCTTCAAATCAAACGTGTCCATCTCCAAATGAATTAGAGATAGGCATAACTGAACAGAATCTTCAATTCATATGGAGCTGGATACAACTGATTTAAAGAAAAGTACAAATATTGAAAATATATTTGACATATTTGTAGATTTGGCTTACATATATTTGTAACCCACCATTGAACAAATGGGTAAAATATATATAAAATTATGAACATACAAATTACAGCGAACTTCAGATAAAGTATCCAATGCATAATCCACAAAAATTTCACTGAGCAAGAAATTATTACCGTAAATAAAGAATCCAGCATTCCAGCTGACGTAACACGTTGTGGCACCGGTTATCATAGAAGCTACTGTGATACTTAAGTAGATACCTGTAAGTATACTTCTCAGTTTTTATAATAGATCAATTCTATGTCACTTCCACGTAAAAAAGTCTATTTTTACAGAAAAATCTTCTGCACCTGAGTATGAGAATCCCACAATTCTAGTTCGTTCCGACTTTGGAGCCCAAGCGGACATCACAGAACTCATGGAAGGAAGACAAACACCCTTCAGATACAATAAAAGGATAAGATATTGAGACGTTATTAATATTTAGCTTCTTTGTTTATCAATAGGAAATAAATACCTCTACAAGGCCTTGTATAAATCTGGTTACAAACACTACGACTGGACTATACTTCATTAAAAATGCTAAAACCCAGAAACAGCCTCCGCTGATAAATATTGCACCACCAAACAGTCTACAGCATAAATAACGTTATCATATTGCATTGCAAAGTCAGTAACGGATATATCAAATCTTTTCCTTTTATTTCATTGGTCAAAATTAAAGTCGAAATTCTAAAATACGAATAAAAGACATTAATGACATTATGAAATGATTTAATAAATTTCAAATTATTCAGAAGATTTTATTTAATTGAAAAATAATTTACATACAAACTGAATAATAATAATGATAATATAAATAATAATAATAATGAGAAATTTAAAGTACCCTGAATTATAACTGTGACATAATGTGTAATTTACATACATGTAAATATGATATGAAAACACATTTTTGTGTTTAAATTTAAGTAGAACACTGTGCTTTAACAATTACTCTGTTAGATATTAAGAATATAAAGGAAATGAGGCTTTTGCCGAAAATGCTAGAAACACTTCCCCTCTGTTTTTATTTATTTATTTATTTATTTTTTTATTCGTTTTTAACCTAAAATTCTTCGTTGTCTGTGTTGTTGGTGTCATCGTCGTCGTTGTTATCATAGACTTTTCATATTTGCATTTTCCTTTCTAGAATCACAGGGCTATTTCAACTAAACTTACCACAAAGAATCCTTTGATAAAGAGGTTTCAAGTATCTTTTTTGAAGAGCGGCGCTTACTTGAAAGGGGAGATGATTGCGGAAAAGTGCATGAAAATTTGTTGGTGTCAGTTAAAATTATTCTCAAGAATTACTGGACAAGAAAAGTCAAAACTTTTTTTTCTTTTTTACGTGAGGGGGGGGGGGGGAATTTAAAAATCTTCTGTAGAACAGTAGGATTATAATCAATAATTATATACAAACATCCACAATTCAGATTCAGTTTTGGTTAAAATCTTTTTTCCTGGGGTTAGGATGGGACAACAATATGGGATCAATGTTATACATAGGATTATATGGGAAAATCTTTTCAAGATTGGCAGGGTCAGAAATAGTTATATAACTCAGGTAGTGCAGATTGAAGTTTTATCAAATTGTGGCTATCGAGGGTAGGTTAGACCAAAAGAAGGAATCAAATGTTTACATAAGATGCATGTGTATAAGAAATCAATAAGAAATCTTTCTTGAGTAGCAAGACCACACTAAGTCATATTAATTTGCAAATATCCCCATGTTGTGTTGATATTTTTTTCCCCAAATTATTGATCCTGAAACTAGGGTTGGAATTGGATATCAAATTTGACATAATGCATGAATGTAATAAATCTATCAAAATTATTCTTTTCACAACACCAAGACCATCATGCTGATATTGAAGCATACTCATGTTGTGTGGATTAAAGATCATCTATGTCAAGACCCCCTGGGGCTAGAGTGTGGCGGCAGTATGTGGTAAAAATTTTCATTTGAATGAAGAGAGAAAAAGAGGTATGAAGAATAGCAGGGCCATTTTAGTTTACTCAGCTGAGCGATGTCTTTTTTTTTGTTTCGTTTATATTAGGGAACGAACGATGAAATGAGTTCCAGAACTTTATTTTTTTAAAACATTTTCAGTGAACGGAATAATGACCAGTAGAAAAAGCAAATGCATAAATAAAGCAATTTATTTTACTTTTAAAGGTATCATTGTCAATGAAGTTTTATTACCAGGCTATACGGAAATGTAATGTCACAAAATTTACCTTCATAAATACTCTTTGATCTGGTGTACTCGTGTATAAAAAATCATTAATGTGACATCATTAATGACAAATATATGACGTAATATACCAAAACACTTTAAATTAGATATTGTCGAAAATGATGACGTTTGGCGATACTGTGGAACACCAAATTATTAAGGAGTACTGTGTTGAGAGGGATATGACTCCTATCCATGCGATAAAAGACGATGGAACAACAGAAATATAAATCTTGGACACAGGTTTATCTCTAGTTGAAGAGGTTTGAGGATGGCTTGACTGGTAATCCGATAGAAGAGGCGTTTTGTAGACCAACAAAAAATGAAGACAAACTGAAAGTCAGGAGCTGGACGTCATAGGCCTAAGTGAAGTTCGCCGTTAAACAATGCTAACTGTTAGGTTTATTATCGGAATTGAGGAATTGTCTATATTAAAAGAATTAATTCCACAATCTTTTGGTAACACTAGTATTTGAGATGTATAACTTATATATGTAGTAAATAAAAGAAAATTAAATACATTGCCGAATTTATGCTAAAACGAATTTTATCAGAAACACTTTTCCAGAACAGATTCACAAACGCCACGAGCTACGTTTTGACGTCGTCAGTGTTGCACCGACAACCGATTTGTAAGATTCGTTTCTACCTGAGAGAAAAATGTTATTTATGGATATATTTCATTGACATTTTTAGGCATTATTAAAAAAATGTTGATTATGATGTATGCCAATTTTTAGCTTTATAGTATTAGTGAAACAAAAGATATTGAAAATGTTCGCGTATTTCTGGGACAACCTTTGTATAATGACCTCATTTGCAAAAACAACATATTGTTTTGTCGTATTATGACTGGCATGATTCCCACCAACTGTTCGTTATCTTACCCTTTTACATCAGACTCTCAGAGAAGAAAAATAAATAATGAACCTGAAAACTTTGTCATAAAGTTCACTCGTGAATCTTGTAACCTTATATAGCTTTGTTGTTAAACAAACCAGCAAAATTTAGCGATATTATAAAAGATGGCCTCAGAATTTTAAAGCATTTATAACTAATTTTGTAATCTTTACAGCTTCATTATGTTACATAATTTGAGGGGGAAAACGACAGGACAGATCGAATACACCAAATCAGGCTTCAATTTAGATAATGATTTTAACCTTTAAGCATATACTATAGTAGGTCAAAATTTCGTTTAAAGACATCTGCACAGACAATATAATTACAATGTACTTCAATGTAATCACTCGTAATTTGGTATGAAAACTTGATAGGTCATTATTTCAGTTGACATAATTTCAGCGGCAAAGCAAGTATAGCTTTTAGGATTGACATTTTATTCGGAATATCTTTAAAGATTGAGAAATGTTAAGCACTATCTTGATCTACATTAGATTTTTAGTAAAATTTTAGTCGATAGTCGGTATGATCGAACGATAGTCGAGTACTCGAATATTAATTGACATCCCTACTAATCTTATATTGTAAAAATGTAGTGGTTTTGAACATAAGAATTATCTTTATTATGACTATAGACTGAACAAAACAAGCATCACTGACAGAGAGATGACTTACTTTGTTGGAGAGAATCGGGCAGCTAGGATTCCTCCTGGTAGCTGGGAGATGACTTGTCCCATAAAATAGGCGGTATTAAAGTACTGGGAAATGGCTACACTCCAATCTAATTGGAGGTCAAACGCTGTTCCATTGATGGTGCACTGAAAATTCGAATTTAATAGTTTTTTAATTTGCATGCTACAGTTTATTCGAAATAGATTCATACAATATAAAAGACCATAGCCTCATGCATATTATTTTCAAGAGTTTTACTAATAATTGCAAAATGGAACCCTGCCGAAAGAAGTGTTTTACCAACTGACACATGTTCTTAGAGAATCAAAACGCTCCTAATATGAATTATAGTGACCAATGTAACTGTATTGAGAAATCGATTTAACTACATGTAGCTGTGGAAAACAATCAACAGTTTCTCACCTCTTTAAATAATGTTGCCTTATTATTGTCGTTGTCTTTTATGACGTAGATCATTATTATGGTGATAACAGTCCTATATCCATAGATGATTAGGAAACCCAGAAAAGACAGGAGGGAAACGGTGATTCTTTTTGGACATCCCATGGTACAATTTAATTCTCGCTTTAAAAAGTTAAAGTATAAAAAATCAGCAAAAGAATGCACATGACATTGACATATGGATAAGCGTTTGCTTGCTCACCCCCCGCCACCCCCACCCCCTCCCCTTTAGCATCCCTACGAGAAATTTTCACTCATATTGGGACGCCATCATGTGCATTAAGAAGGCTGAAATATTGATCTGTACTCGGTACTTATTCGAAATAAATTTATACAATATAAAAGACTATATTTCTTTGCATTTATATATAATTAATTTTAGAATTAAGAACTAATACATGCAGTAAGTCCGTAGGCTATCATTCTATGGATTTGAATCGCTATAATTTAATTGAGTATTACTTTTCCTCTTGGGATTCGAAGAAAACTTTTTAAGAATATAAGTTATATAACTATACATACCTGAAAGCTCTGTAACAAAGTTGTATATTATCCCTGTCTGGAAACTCCCATTATACAATTGTATATATCGTACACTGGATGAATGTGTCTGTGGGTGGGTGCCGTGTGTACGCAGTAGCACACTAACCTCTGGTACAGAGAAAGGAATCCGGATATTGAGCCGAGATATAGGATGTGGGGCGTATAATATATTATTTAGATTACAATAAACTAGTGTATCTTATTTTAAATGTGTTTATTTGATATTAACCATAATAGTACTTTGACATCCTGAAAAACTTGATGTTAACAAGTTAATTTTGAAAAGCATTACTGGTTGGGTTTTGATACTAATAAACCCTGGCATCTAGAGAAAAACAATGTTTAGATATAATGAAATATATGGAGATAACGAACAGTATTCAAGCTCAAAAGTCCATTAAACAATACAAATTTCGGAGAAAAGCAAACACAGACCTCTAAAACATCAGAGGTGGGACCAGGTGCCATGGAAGAGTGAGTATCCCCTGCCGACCGATCACAACCGCCATGTGCTCCTTGTCATGATCGGGAAGCTTCGAAAAGAATATCGTGCTTGAAACAAAGGTGTCAAAAGAATTTGATATAGCCTTTTTTCTGTTTACTTTGTTATGCATTGTGTGCAAAAGAGGCCCATCCTAATCGATCCTTAAAAGATTTTCTGCTCCTGTCTTATCAGTGAAAAAAATTGACATTATGCGCAACACAATGCAGATTAAGAGTTTTGTCTCTACATTATCGTTTAACCGTTTATCTGAACCACCTCTTTTCAAGTAAAGGTAAACCGTATCTTCCTAAATTGAGTACTGTATTCTAGATTTTTCAATACATGAGCTCATTAGAGTTTGAGATTTACATCAGTGAGAACAGTCGATTTCGTGAAGTTTGCGTAGCCATTACATGTCATATGTACCATGAGTCCATGACTAGTGATGTTACGATAATTATCGCCGACTTTTCGCGCGAAAACGGAGTTCTTGGAACCGGGTTTGTGTAGAAAAACGCCATTTTCGACCCTCAGTAGGACCATAGAGTAAAAATGAATATTCTGATTCCTTAGTTCTGTTTAAATGTTGAATACTACTATATTAGATGGGAATAAACACAATTTAATTAAAAATATCAACTTTTTCCTGTTCTAAATTTTGTATTTACCCCATTCGGTAAATTCAAAATTTAGTTCATGACATAGACAGGCATCAAAAATCATAATTCAAAAGATGTTTTGGCTACTGCGTAAAATGTGTAGAAATTAGAGGGAATAGATATTGTGACGGATGGACCAGGATAACAATAATATATCCGAACATTCTGTAGAAAGTGCGAGAATAAGTTTTATCAAGCAAAACTAGTCATATTAATTTGCAAGCATCCTTTTTAAAGTAAAGACTATAGTTCGTTCAAATGGTGGTCTCTCTGGGCTAGGGTGGAAGCAACAGCAATAGGTACAGTTTCAGGTACAGTTTTTCAAAACTCTTTTTAAGAACAACAGGCAAAAAATAATCAGATTATATCAGCATTCTTGGTATTATGGTGGCATATTTCTGCCACCACTTGTCAGAAGCTGTTTGTATTGACTTGTCAGATATTTACGTCAATTTGTCAGATAACTACAGTGTATGTCGACTTGTCAGATAAAAATCATTACGACCAGGAATTCGGTATCTTGTTATTACAGCAAGTTAAAGCCACGAACTGAAATCTACTTGCCATCATAATATCTGACAAGTCGATATGATTTTCTGACAAGTCGACATACTTTTCTGACAAATCGACATCATTATCTGACAAGTCGACATAATTTTCCGACAAGTTGACTTGTCAGGTGTAATGTCGACTTTTCAGAAAATTATGTTGACTTGTCCGATAATATATCGACTTGTCAGATCTTTATGTTGACTTGTCAGGTACTTTTGTCGACTTGTTAGAAAAATGTGTTGCCAACTGATGGCCTTAATTGGTCATGGACACATTTTCATGTTGAATTTTCAAATACGTGAATGAGTGACGAATTAACAAAAAGATCTGACAAGTCGACATAATATCTGACAAGTCGACATTATTTTCTGACAAGAGAGGGACAGAAATATGCCACCATATAATATGGATTCAATTTTCTTGAAACCATTGCCCCCCCCCCCCCCCCCATCGGGCAATAACAATTATTTCTGATAACAATGTCGAAAAACCTTTTCCAAGAAATCAGGGCAAGCTGTATAGATATGTCATGAATAGCATTCATAGATTTGAAAGTAATGCATAAAACATATGCCTCTCTACCGTTTGATTAATTCTGGGAACGTCCAAATAACATTAACGTATTTTAAAAAAGAGGAAGAAGACTAGAGAACTCTGTCAAAAAACAATGAAATGAAAAAAGAAAAGAAAAGGGACGTCCCTAAACTCGTCAATTCGTTTGAAGGAAAATTAATTTCCGTCAAAATACTGTTAAAGCAAAAACAACAAAAAAGTACAATAGCTACTATTTACTGTTTGATTGTTGACTGGAATTGTTTAGAATAGTTACATGACCATTTTGAGATTTGCTATCGTTGCTGTATATTATTCCATTCATATCTGTTTTAATCTGTGGGGTTTCAGAGGTAGATCCATACGTGCTTATATTTTCTTTTTCTGGAATTTTAATCTCGGTATACCCTGACTTGGCCCAATCTTGCTCTCTTCCAGATCCAAATATAGCAAAACATATCACAGCAAACAAATGTATGGATCCTGTAATTACTAATATCCGCCTCCAAGACTCCATATTCTTAAAGGAAAAAACATATAATATATACATATTAACTTAAACTTATTTCAATTTTTATTTTTTATGAAAAATTAAATTTCTATATATTTCTATAAATATGGAATCTATATGCAAGGCCCAGACACTCTTCATCCTCTTTAGAATTTTCTTTCTATTTAAATTTAACCCCCAAACCACCCACAAACATATGCACATTTTGTTTCCCTTGAAAAATCATGAACAAATGTAATTGCTGTGGCATGTAAATTTTGAATTTCTTTGGTGGTGATGTAAATTTTGCAACCACCCAGTACATTCTAAGTTTATTAATAATCATAGGTGAATAGAAAGGGGGAATAACTTCTATCAGTTGAGTACAAATTTCACTGCAAGATCAATAGAGTCCTGTCCAATACCAGACCTTTTGACCCACTGGTCCAGAATTTCACAAATCTGATAAAAATACTCTTGCTCATTACAACTTTGTACTCTATTTCCCTTCTAAGTGCCAAGTAGCACAGAAAAGGCTTTTCAAAAATTAATGCATTTTTACTATATAATCAATAGAGCATCGCCCTAATACCAAATTTCCCTAATACCAAATCTCCATACCCAACGGCCATGGATTTCACAATTTTAGAAGAGGCAACCATGCTCATTATACTAAGTTACTATGCACAAAGTTTTTTCTGCTTTTCAAAGTTTTTCTGCACAGGGTAAGAGAAGAGGACTTTAAAAGAATTGATGCATTTTTTACTATATGATCAATAGATCCCTAACGCAAGAACCTCTCACCCTGGGGCCATGAAATTCCCTAATTTGATAAAGGACTAATTGCTTGTTATAATCATGCCAACAGTTTGATTAATTGATTTCCAGGAGTAAAGAAGATTTTTGAAAATTGCATTAATTTTGATGGTTTTGGCCCCACCCCTTAGGCCCCTAGGAGGGGGGGCAGGGACAATGAAATTCACATTTTGTTCCCTTTTCCCCATAGATGCTCTATACTAAAATCGGTTGAAATTGGTTAAAGGGTTCCAGAGAAGAAGCTGAAAATGTTCAAAAGTTTACAACCAACAAACGACGATTACGACTTCAAACGAAAACAGATACCAATTTTATTATTAAATTATAATCTGTCTGTAACAGAAAAGATATTATAATATCAGAGTAACATTCAATTTTTTGTCTTCTTATTGATAAATTTACAGAAATGCCGTCATTGGAAATATTGCAAAATAGTCTTATTAAGCGTACCTTTTGCCTGAGGGCTCCAGCCATCGCTGTACTTATGGTAGCACCTAACAAACCCAGTCTCACTAGCCCCACCAGAACACTGGAATATTGAGGTGCTAAGTCTACTGGATTTACTTTATAACCTAAGTATTAATATGTTATTTTTAAATGGCCAATTTAATAATGAAAAAAATAGTACATTTCTGTATTATAAGTACCAATGATCTACATGTAAATGTATATCTGAAAACATATATATATATATATATATATATATATATATATATATATATATATATATATATATATATATATATATATATATATATATATATATATATATATATACAAAGTAAAATATTTTTATGACAAAAGAATAAGTAAATTTAATCACAATTTTTTAAATAATACGTTGCGTTCTAACATTTTTCTTTTTAAATGCAAATATAAATCATTGGCTTCTTATGTCTAATAAAATTGTTAAACATTTACTTTTTGACAGTGAAAATGTTCAAATATTATGGAAAAATCTGGGTTTAGTATTACATTTTGATGCACAATGTAATCTTAGGCTTTTATTCTGAACAGAATACCAAGATACAGTTTTTAAATACTTTTGTTTTTTCCTGGCAAGTAAGATATACAAATTTAAAATGTGTCGTAGATATCAGAACAAAACTGAAACAAATAATATGTTTCTTTCTTATGTAAAAAATAACCTTAAAAAGAATATGGATTTATTCCTTGAGTTATCAAATACACTGCACTAATATGTTTTAAAAATAAGATTGTGGCATTTGTAGAAATGTTACAATTAATATTTTGTTATTCTTGTTATGCTAAGTATCTTAACCCGGAATAGTTAGAAAAAATAAATGGGTTTGCACTATGATTAATAAAAGATTAAAAAAAAACTCTACCTGGACTTCCTATGCCCGCCATTCCTTCTCCTACAATTAATAGGAAACACGCTGCTGGATAACTTCTGACAAAACCCAAAATTAAGATAGCGACAGCCTCAGACCCAAACCCTTAAAAAAAGGAAATTTAGTCCGAACATTATTTCTAAAATAATAATAATGAATTAGCGAGAATGTAGGACATGTATATCTAAAATCAACACAACACATGGCATTCCTTACCTACCGATTGAAATTGCCAATTTTCGGCCAAATGTGACTGAAATTTTTTCTGTTTTGATTAATTTGTCAAAAAGGATCCCACTAAATATTATAGAAACAACCATCAGGACTGGAGGAAAAGCTGTTAGGAATCCAATCTGAGAGAAAGATAAAATTGGAATTTGGAAACAAGCTGCACCAGAGATACGTAATACTTGAATCATGCTTTAAACTACTCCATTTTTGTTGTAAGCGTATTAAATAAGATATGAATAATAATATAATATGTAAAGTTTTACCGATGCCACATTGAGCCTAAAGACATCAGCGAAGTACTGAGGTATTTCGGTTACCATCGTAGCAAGAACCCAAGACCGTGTGAAATTAGCGAGGAATAATGCCCAGACAGGAGCAGATGTGAAGATTCGTGTCCAAGGAATGTTTTTAGCCTGAATTAGAGATAAGTTGTTATATATTTAAGTTTTTTTGTAGTTGTCAATATATTTTTGGATTTTAAAATCATCTCACCACAGCTGCAGATGCAACTTGAACATGAGAACCTTCTTCCTCGAAAATGCGATTCTCTTTCTCGTCTAGAGAGGGATGAAGTGTTGGACTGTCGTAAATTGTACAGAGCCAAAACAGTGACCACATGATGCCTAAACCACCTGCAAAACTATAAAAATGATGATAACTTTGTTAATCCAGCAAGGTTACCTGTCCATCCAGTCGCCTGCGTGGCGCAGTGGTTAGAGCGTTTCCACTAGAGTCGCGTAGTAAGGTGTTGATCCTTACGTCGTGGATTCGAATCCACTATATGACATGTAGACCGGTCCTTCGGTTGAGACCGTATAAACAAAGGTAGCGTATTGCAGTAGGTGCTGGCACGAAAAAAACCCTCAAGGGACATAAAACAAACAAACGTTCCATCCGTTTGTCCAAGTAGGAAAACAACTAAGTGTGGTTATCTTGCACCTTTTACACATAGGACTAAAACAGCATACTCAGAAAGCAGCACGAAGAATTCAGATTGATTGTTTATGTAAGGGATATAAGCCAAAAACTGTAAATTCTGTGAAAAAAGAACTGATTACAAAACATGATTTCCATTATGTTAAGATTTAGTTTCAGCTTTTGTATACAGTGATGACCTTTCCTATGGGCAATTGTCATCATAATGTACTCTCCAAGGTAAAGTAAAGCTATTCTTAAACAATAAAACCGGTTTCTTTTGTTCACTCATTGGACATTTTGAGGTAAGATTTTTAAAAAGGCTATAAAACTTGAGTTTCCTCAATCTTCAGTCACTTTCACTATTAATTAAGCCATATTGACGTGTCTTCCTGTGATGGTGAGAGCATTTTTTATTCTATCATAATTTAAAAGTCCAAATACTTAGATTTTACTAAGTTATATTATGGATGTGGAGAGTGAGTATGCTAGGAACCAAATTTCAGTCTAAAAAAGCGAAATCTTTTATGGATATATCTGATGAAGAAATACTGTACTTCGCGCAAGCCAATATGTAGAAATCATGAAAAGATTTTGTGATTCTAAGAATCAAAAAGTTCTTGATGATTTGATACAAAATGGGCTATCTAAAAAGACGGAAAACAGTGCAGATTTTTCTTAGACTTTTCGTAAAGTGCCTCAGAATTAAATGAAATTCATGTAAAGCATGGGAAAAAAGCCTCAAATTCTGATGTGATGTGCAGTTGTGTAAAATCACAACAAAGGGAATTAATGTGAAAAGTTAAAAAATGTTATAGAATTCCTAAAAATTCATTGTGAAAATGTGAACTGTGAATCTAAAAGTTAAAAAATGTAATTGGAATTCCATTGTGTTCATTGTGTTGGTGATGTTACATTCATTAATTTTAAAATTAAATTTTTGCTTCTGTTTGACAAATGTATTATTTTTCATAAAATGTTTTCTTTTCACCTGGCACCATCCAATAAGGTCAAAATAAATGTCTAATAAGTTTGGACAGATTTCCAAACTTATTGGACAAAATTAGGGTAACTAATTGGGGTGTTTTTAAACTTAAAATGACTTTCTATATAACAACCGAAAGTAACAAAGAATTACATAACAACCATGTTTTAATTGCTGTTTGATGCCAAGACCGGAGTATTATAGACATATTTCAGCTGAAATCCAGACCGATTATGGACAAGCTACTACAATGACTCATCAATGACTCTTCTGAGAATTTATTACTCTGGGTCTCAAGTTACAAGGTCATTTGAAACATACACAGTACAAATTTTGAACAAAAAAAAATGAAAACAAACGTCAAACATAGTATCCAATACATAGGCTACAATAATTACATTGACCTAATTAACAATAATTTTGTGTCACACTACAGAACTTTGATCTTTGCAAGGATATTAACATTCAATGATAATGGAGTCTTAATAATGTATAAATTATTACCGTAAATGAAAAGTCCGGCGTTCCAACTGACGTAACACGTGGTGGCCCCGGTTATCACAGAGGCGACTGTAGTACTTAGATAGATACCTGTAAGGGTATTTCTCATGTTATAAAATAGTTCATTAATGTTTCAATTAGTATATTAAAATTTTGATTTTACTGGAAAAAAACTTTCTACACCTGAGTAAGAGAATCCCACAATTCTAGTCCGTTCTGACTTTGGAGCCCAAGCGGAAACAACAGAACTCATGGCAGGTTGACATACACCCTTCAAATACAAAAATAAGATATTCATACAGTGATGTCTATTTATTCCTAAATATTTTTTCTATGAATAATTAGTTTCTTTATTCATTTATGGACAATAGATACCTCTACAAGGCCTTGTATAAATCTGCTCACAAACACCACGACTGGACTATACTTCATTAAAAATGCTAAAACCCAGAAACATCCTCCACTGATAAATACCGCTCCTCCGAACAGTCTACAACATAAATAACGTCCATGTATAACTTTATTATATAACATACATAACATTTATAAATTTAGTTTAATGTAATCCCCGAAAACATCTGAAAATATCCATTTTCAAGTAAGCAGAACACTGTCTTTTAACAATTAACTCTATTATCTATAGGAAATGAGATTTTTTCCGCCGAATATGCATAAACCATTGCTGTATATTTTTTTTCAAATAAGGAACAAACAATGAAATTCATTTTGAATATTTTTGTGTTGATTGAATGATAAAGAGGAAGTGCACATTTGTCAGAACCCCAGAGATAAAAAAATAGTGAACATGAAAACTTGTCAGGATAGTCAGTGCTGAACGTCAGGAAAGTTTCGCAATATTAAGAAAGATTGCCTTTTTGTTTAACATTTATATCTTATATTAGTATTATAATATTATATTTGTGGAGAATTAACGGTAGGACAGATCGTGTGAGTCAGATGTCAATCTAGATTTTATGATTATTAATGATTTTAACCTTTATGCAGATGCTTTGGTAGGTTAAAACTTCGTTTAAGATAACTGCGCAGATGATGCAATTCCTATAATGCTATAAAATATAGTTTGGAATGGAAACGTGATCATACCAGTTTACAATGATTCAGTTGAAAAGCAAGTGGAGAATCATGAAAAGTATAACAAGTATATACTCTTAGGATTGGAATTTTATTCAGAATATCTTTAAAGACTGAGAAATTTTATACCCTATCCTGATCTAGATAAAATTTTTGTTTAAAAGCAAGTTATGACGCCTTCTCATGTGCCTGTATTGTAAAAATATAATAGTGACATAAGAAACATTTCCATAATGACTTTTGAGTGAATAAATTAGCATCACTGATAGAAAGTTCTCTGACAGAGAGATGACTTACTTTGTTGGAGAGAATCGGGCAGCTAAGATTCCTCCCGGCAGTTGGGAGATGACTTGTCCTATAAAGTAGGCAGTGTTAAAGTACTGAGAAGTGGCTACACTCCAGTCTAAATGGAGGTCAAACGCTGTTCCATTGATGGTGCACTGAAAAATTCCATTTTGAAACCAGTTTCTTTTATCCCTTATGATATAAATTAGGGCCTTTTTCTCAATTGTTTCTCTGTAGGGCTACCAATTTGCATGCTACAGTTTAAAAGACATCATAGCCTCATGTATTTTAAAAGATTTATAGTAAGAACTGCACAATAAAACTCTTCTTTAAGGGAAGTGTCTTACCAAATGCTAGTATAGAAGGAGAGTCAAAATGTGCATAGAGTAATTGATATGGTCAACAATTTCTCACCTCTTTATATAATGTTGCCCTGTTATTGTCGTTGTCTTTTATGACGTAGATCATTATCATGGTGATAACAGTCCTAAATCCAAAGAGGATTAGGAAACCCAGAAAAGACAGGAGGGAAACGGTTATTCTTTTTGGACATCCCATAGTACAATCTAATTCGTGCTTCAAAGATAGTATATATAAAATTAGTTCTAAAATACCCTGGACATATGGATAAACTTTATTTATATGTTTTCTTTCTTGCTTTACGCCCCTTCGAGAATATATTTTATTTACGTAATACACCACATTATTACAATTGAAGGCTTTAAATTCTGACATTTACTCTGCACTCAGGGCCTTATCCAAAATAAATTCATACAATATAAAAACCATAGCCTTTCGGATTTATATAGAAATTAATTTTAAAATTAAGAATTTCACATAAAATCTCAGAATACTATTCTTTGGAATTGAATAGCTATAATTGTAAAATTAAATGCAAATGAGTATCATAACATTGATATATATCAAGATTATCTATATGTATTTATACATACTTGAAAGAGGATGGCTTTTCAACAAAGCTGTATATAATCCCTGTTTGGTAACTTACATTATGCCATGAATGACTTTGATAGCGTCTGTGGGAAGGTGTCGTGTGTATTGCAGTAGCACACTGACCTATGTCAGAGAGTACGGACTAAAAAACCCGGATTTTGACGAGATATAGGATGTTAAGCGGTTAAGTAATATTTTGAGTATCGTTGGACGAATATATCCTATTTTAAATCTGGTAATTATAATCGTTAATATATGTATTAATCCTAAGTGCACTTTGACAACTGAGAACACTTTGTATTGAAAAGTAAACTTTGCAAAGTATGGCCGGATGGTTGGGTGTAACTTTTTCATACTAATACATGTAATGCCTTGACATCTAGAAAAGGGTTAATTAAAAAAATGACCAAACACATATTTATCAACCTGCACTAAAAATACAGGCAATGGGAATAATTTTTTTTGTCTCAGCATATGTCTTTTGATAATGTCTAAGTACCTGCCAAATGTCTCATTGATATCTCAATTCACAAAAAAGTTATGCCCAAAAATAATGCTAAAAATGTCAGGAGTGCAACACCTTTTTGTGACATTTTGAAAATTCAATATTTTTTGAAGATCTGTGAAATTAATAATAGTTTGTGTTGGAAATAAAGACTTTCCTGATAATATTCAAAGTATTGAGCTTTAAATGTACACTGTAACAAGTTCTGCTTGACCAGAAAGGTGCAGAGTTATCTTCCCGGAAATGACACACACATTTGAACGTTAATTTGAGTGGCTATCTAAACAAAGAAAACACAACAAGCTAAGGTGATGTATCAATGAGAGTTATGACAACCCAATTCAAGGGATAACCAAAGCGAAATAGTGAAATACGTGAAAGGGCATCTTATTACTGCAATACATTAAAGGTTTGTTTTCTTTTCTTTGCATTAATTAACCACGATGAAAGATATAAATAAAGTTGACTTTGGATATCTTGAATTCGTTCATAGACTTGCAGGAGAGGAAATAATATTAAATGTCATTAAAACATCTATACTTATATCAGTATAGTTTCACTAAAACTTGAACAATTTTGTTTTTCTATCAGTGTACTTTTACTACAATCTGACTTTCTTTCCTACAGGTACTGTAGTCCAGATCGAGTATCAGAATACCTGGTGTTATCTTCAAGTGCAATTTTGTTGTTCCTTAATCAACACTTTGAAACTTCATTTTGTGAAGACTACCGAGTTAATTCGACAGTGTTTACAATTATCCTCGTGCATTCGAAATGGATTACTTTCTGGCAGTTATTGATGGGATATAGATTATAATATGTGGTGCTTTGGGACTTGCTGAAAATTAATAAAATTTGATATTTTTGTGATTGACAAGAGGAAAACTCTGCAGTCGATTCAAATTATAATGATTATAATAAATATATGTATAAATATACATTCTGTATTTCTAATTTAAAAATTCTTTAATAAAGCCTTTAGAAATATATATATTCAATGAAGTTTTGATTTTAAATTGTCAGATTAATATTATTCATTTAATAATTTTGAAGATTAAAAGTTTGTTATCTATGTGCACGTTATAAATTATGTGTCGTTCTGATTGAATTGATGAGACTTATCAAAGCTATTCAGTTCTATCTCCTACATTATTTGTGTAAATTGAGTACATGTACATCGCACAGTGTCCATTATATTGTATAATTAAATACATATCCCAGCCTTCAGTGGCTTTATGGAAAATAATTAATATGGATTACATATTTTGAAAATTTTGACAATTATGCGCATTGAAAAAACTAACTTTTTGTGCCTAAATTGACGAGAGTGTTTTGTTTTTCTGCAGGTACAAATCATACTTATGATGTGTTTAGATATTAAACACTTCTGCTGTTATGTGTTTAGAATTTAAACACTTGTGTTCATGTGCTTAGATATGTTTAATTTTCTAAGCACACAAGTGTTTAAATTCTAAACACTTTTGAGAAATTTTACATGTTTAGGAATTAAACATATAAAAAAAGGAGGTGACAACAAAGTGTTTAGAGAAGTGCTTGAATTGTAAACACACTTTTTACAGTGTAGTTTTTATTTTGGAAAATAAAGAACAAAGAACATTTTTACCAAATAGATTTATCAATTATAGGGTCTGTCTATGCTTCAGATCTATATATCTAAGGTCAGGAGTACAACCCGTATTTTTAAAGATTCAAGTTATATGATGAAAAGACTTCTATTCATACTAAGAGATATTCTTTAATTAATTATGAGCTATTTGAATAATTTAGTACTAAATTATTGACAGTTTTATTATTAAAATCCTTCTCTTTTGATATTTTATCAATTTAGATGTGTTTTTATTATTTTTTTTAAATTATTTTTTATGAATTTAAAAAAATAAACATACTGAAAAATTGTTATGAAATTCAAGTAGTTTCACCTCAACTTAACTGAAACAACAGATCAAGTTCTGATGTAATTTTCGCTTCACAATTTTACTTTAAAGACTCCCATCCTCTTGGTCAGGAATGCAACAAATGTATTAGAATTATTGCTGATCAAATATGAATAAATATAAAGAACAGAAAGTGATTTACAAACTAAGAATGTGTTATTGTGTTTCATATTTTTTGAAACAATGTTAAATAAAATACATATCTGATGTCAGGAGTGCAACACAATAATGTAAAATGTGGTCACAAAATCTTGTATTTTTTGTAAGAAAAGTTGTATATCCAAATTTCTTTTGGCTTAGTTTTAAAGAATTGACTTAAATGGACAAGTGATTTGGGGGGGGGGGGGGGTATGTTTTATATTTCTTTCATCTTAAAACTTTTCAAACCAAAATTGAAAAATAATGTAAAATAACAATCAAGAAACCAGTTTTTTTTTCACATATACAAGAGAAGAAACTCAATCAAGGTTGAGATCTAATTATTTATATCCCTGATACTATTTTGAAGCATTAAAACTATAATTTCTTTTGATTATGTATTTTAGAAAGTCTTTTAGGATGTAGTGATATTTATAAGTGAAAAATATGTTATGGGTAGTTAAATTTTATCAAAAAATTTCAATTTGGTGGTCATTACTTTTTAATTCACCCAAAATCTTAATGTTAAAGTAAAAAATCAAACTCTGAAATAATTGTGCCAAAGAAATTTACTCCAGTCTTTCCCCTTTTCTGTAATCTTTGTTAAGCAACTGTGCACAGAAGAAACCCCTGGCTATTGATGCCTCAGATCTCTTCCTCTCACGTCACGTTATATCAGTAAAATTAATACTAAGAACATAACAAGATCTCTGCCTCTACATCATCGCTTGTAAACCCGTGCACATGAACCACTCTTTTTAAATAAACATAAGATGTATCTTCCCAAATTGTGTATTGTATTATATATTATACTTAAGCAGAATTCGAGCTTTGCAATCAAAATCGAGAACTGTCGATTTCGTAAAGCTTGGGTAGCCATTGATAAAGTTTTATTTGAAATGATTTTGGCTACGTATGTTGCCCGTACTTCTTGCTCAAAATGTTGTTTCACTGTCTGTTGTAAAGGTGCTGACTGATAAAAGTTATTATAAAATATTTACTTTGTCACTTAGAAATATTAGCCAGTCATTTATGTCAGTTATGTTGCTCTTTTCAATGTCCAATACAAAAGAGAAATATTTGTAATGAATCTATAACATAATAATGGTTAAAGTGTCTGAATTGTATTACATGTAAATCTAGTTGAATGAATAGATATCAATACAACTCGATCTCATATATCACAAAGATTTTCAATATTCAGTTTTCAACAGAATACTGCAAACTTAGAAAAGCTTGTCTTGGCTTAAATATAACAAAGTTTTGATGTTATATAAAAAGCACCAACCTCATGCAATGTAACACAGTGTACGGATACAAAGGAAACCAATACAGACACCTGGAGTTTTTTCTTCAGGATTGATTCTTCTCATCTTTATTGTATTTAATAATTAATTATATTTTCACAGATTCAAGAAAACAATATCCCAAAATGATGTTATTAGTTCGTACAAATCTGACCTCTTATTCTAGTACCAAGGTCAGGTTAAGGTCACAATCTTATTTTTACTTACCTCAAAGGATAGAAAGGGATAAAAAATTATAACAAGTCATAAGATAACTTTTATTATCATAAAATATTAAAATGTTTTTGTTTTTGCATAAAAAGATAATAGCAAACAAGTTCTATTAGATAATACTCCACATAAAGATAAACTGTCCACATTGACTGGCAAGATTATAATTGTGAAGTGTGAATAATTATAATTTTAGGACAAAATAAAAATAATGTGTACACGTTTGACAGACAAGATTATAATTGTTGCAGGAAAAATAATAATGTTGTCAAAAAAGCAAGATTTTTATTTTTGGATGAGATAATTATTTTCGGTATAATTATATAGGAAAAAATAATTATAATGTGGGGGTACTCTACGGCTTTCCATAGATATGCAATATATGTGATATTTTCCTACTCTGTTGTTCTGCCCAATATATTGGCTCTGCTACATTTTCATCTCTGTTTATTTTTCTTCTATGTCAAGTAGTACAGTTGTAGGAAGGAAAGACAAATATTATCTTAAACTATGGAATCATCATTGTTCGTGGGGGGGGGGGGGGGGGGGGGGCAATGTTCATGGATTCGTGGGTCACCCTTACCCACGAATTTCCATCCAATTATTTTGTCAACATTTTTTATTGGTTTTTAATATATACGAGTTACCCATGCAATTACGTTCCACGAACCAATAATTTTCTTTTTCTTGCCCATGAACACAGACCTCCACAAATTTAAAAAATGATTCCACGGTTTATTCCTAACATCTCTATATAAGGACATTTATGCAAATATACTTTAGTAGTTTATTCAGTCAGAAGCCTGACCAGAATCCATCCTTAATGTAAAAGAAACACGTTTGATCTACGTAAAAAGCGCCCTTAAACCTTTATGGTTTAATGAGACGCTGTACTGCTAGTTTACTGTTTGTAATATCTTTTGATGTGTTGTCATTCTGTATTTCTTCATTAAAATTATAAACGATTCCTGTAAGATCAGAACTTTTTTTCTCCTGTGTTGTGTGTGTAGAACCATATGTCAATTTTGATTCCTCTTTTGGAGTCACTAGTGTAGTATATGCTGTCTGGGCCCATTCTTGTTGTTGTCCGGATCCAAAAACAGAATAAAATATCACAGAAAACAAGTGTAAAGATCCGGTGATAAAGAAAATTCTCTGCCAAGATTGAACGTCCTAAAAGAAAAAAAATCTCATCAAAATGACTACTCAAATGCTTTGATTAACATTTCAAGACAGATATTATTTTTAATTTACTTAATTAACTTGCGATTGCAAGATCATGGATACTGAGATAGTATTCCTTGAAAGCAAGAGGATGTTTGTGCATTCAAGGTCCAAACACATAGAGTCCTTGCGCAGTACAATGTGCCCAAAACCTTCAACAATCTTAATTCATAGAGAGTCATCTCTACTCTTTTGAATCTATCATCAGTATTGTTAATTTATTTGTATCTTCATAGAGACCATCTCATTTTAAGACTTGTGAAATTCGCGACCCCCGAAAATGGAAAGGGGGAAAGGCAAGACACAGAGTTGGTTTGAGGAGTTTAAATACTGAAATAAAACTACAGAAAAATCTGAGACATCTTAAATTGAATATCAATATTTTTACAAGAATGAAGTATCCATTAGACTGAATCTGTATTTGAAACAAGGACTGTAATTGCATAATAGTTCTATATTAAGCCAACTTAACTAATTCTATGAAAATCATTGAACAGTTTGTAACATGATAAACATGAAACTGTTACAGATCCTGCTCTGTTTATATACACATATTGAGCTTAAGTTTACTATTTTGGTTTCAATTTTCATTTTAACAAAATTTATTGTTTATCTGGTAGTATTCTTTTTAACCTTATGTCTGAGGGTTCCGGCTATCGCTGTGCTAATGGTGGCGCCTAGTACTCCAGACCTCACGATCCCCGTCAGAACACTGGCGTACTGTGGAGCCAAGTCTACCGTGTTTACTTTAAATCCTGCAGATAATTCTTCATTGTTTTTATCTTTTCTCTAGATTAAATTAGACTTACATGAATTAACAAATTTAATTGTTACTTTGCTCTGATCACATTGAATTTACCTGCTGTAGAGAATCCTGCGAGTCCTTCAGCAAGGATGATTATAGCTGAGGCAGTTCTGTAATCTCTGACAAAACCCAAAGCTAATACACACATGGCTTCTGATCCAAAACCTAAAGGTAGATTATTTAAAGAAAAAATATCAATCGAAGCATATTTTCAAAAATCTCAGTTTTAATTTTATCTTGATGACTACGAATTAAAGGTTACCTATGACCATGGATAATTTTCGACCAAGAGTAGTGGACACTTTCTTTTCTTTAATCATTTTGTCAGTAATGATGCCTCCCAAAACCACAGAAAATGTCATTAAAATTGACGGGAATGATGTCAAAAATCCAATCTGAGAAAAAAAAAAATACGTACGTCTGCTTAACTCCATCAGTATTTCGTAATATTATACAAGTATTCTGCGTCAACAGTATACAAAATGCAGTGTAACATGTACATGTTTAATAATTCTTAACAATATTTTCAAATACCGTTGCAACATTTAAGGCATACGCATCGGCGTAATACTGGGGTATCTCAGTAATGATCATGGCAAACACCCATGATCGGGTAAAATTGGCAAGGAATAAGGCCCACACCGGCACTGACGTCAAGATTTTTCTCCAAGGTATGTTTTTAGCCTGTAAAAAGTGAAATCATATGTTTTAATTTTAAATCGATTTGCAGTTATAAAATTAATGCATTTTAGTTACAACAAAAGAAATATTACCACATGGGCCGATGCTATAGTCACATTTGAACCTTCTTCGTCGAAGATGCGCCTCTCTTTTTCGCTTAATGATGGATGCATCATGGGACTATCGTATACCGTACAAAACCAAACAAATGACCAAAGAATACCCGAACCTCCTGGAAATATGATAAAACGATGTAACTCAATGGCATGACAATAGAAAAGAGGTGTAAGGGAAGGGAACATTCCATCTTGCTTAATCATTCTAGAACCTGTGAGTTGGATGAGGTAATGAATAATCTACTTTATACACTTTCATATTTTTTCTCTGAAAGTTAAGTCTGTTGATCTTGATATTTACAGTTGAATATAAATTTCGCCAGGTGAAGGTCAAGTGCTTAATATGTTTGTTAATTTTTCGCGGCTGGGACTATGAAAATTAACAAGGAAATTTACAAGGAAAGCCTCGCTTATTTCATATTTATTAGACAGAATTTTTTTATATAACATTTATTCAAATTTGAAACATAAAATTGTAAATAAGGGGTCACTGTCTACTTTGCTGGATGTGCCAGGGCATTAACGACAGTTGGAACGGGGAATAATTTGAGTTACAATCGAAGCCTCTTATGCGTAAATTATCCCACGTTTTCATTTGTCATTAATAGCCCAGGCATAACCAAAAAATAAGATATGGATTCCTTAAATACATGTATATGTATGGTTTAGGCATATGATTTTATATGGTTGACAAACATAGGCTAAAGATTGATACACATGTTGACAATTGGACATTGCTAAATAATATAACGTTCAATAAGTAACCCATTACAGGTTGTTGCAAATGATGTTAATATTTTCAACAATTATTACCGTAGATGAAAAGTCCTGCGTGCCAGCTAACATAACAAGTGGTAGCCCCCGCTATGACAGAGGCCAGTGAGGTACTTAGGTAGATTCCTGTAAGGAAAATGATTAATATATTTTTTTTCAAATATTGATTTTCTGAAAAGTAAATCGAAATTGAGTGGTCCATTCTTTGAATAATACTACGTACCTTCTTTCAACTTCCTTTTTAAAAATAACAATTGTACGTGAAATATAAAAAAAACAACTTTCTGATGTAAGAAATAATTAAGAACTGAATAAAAGTTTTGAGAGAAATTGTGACCTGAGAATGAGATTCCTACTATCCTAGTTCGTTCTGACTTTGGAGCCCAAGCGGAAACCACGGAACTCATTGCAGGTTGACTCACACCCTTAAAATATACAAGGCAGTGAACATTATGCTTATATTTTACGTTGTGTATCTTCTAATAGGCATATATAGTTATATATATATATATATATATATATATATACGCCGTTTGAAAAAATATAATTAAACAGAAAAATACCTCTGCCAGTCCTTGAATAAATCTGATCACGAAAACTATTATTGGACTGTACTTCATGAAAAATGCTAGGACCACGAAACAAGATCCACTGATAAAAATTGCTCCACCGAACAACCTAGAAACAGAAATATATAATGTGTTAAGTGTCATTCCACTATGCTTTTTTGATCAACTATATTTCTGGTGTTGTCCAGTTATAATTGCTGAAACATTCTACTATATTTATCAGGGTTTCTATATCTAGATAAGAATCAGGTAACATGATGAGTACACAATGTAAATTTATGCCCAAGCTGCTACTTACATAATTCAGAATTTTAGTCATCAATAAAAGGTCAAATAGACAATTCATGGTACTTTCAGATTGATTATTAACTATGTTTTCATGTACTGCGACAATATGCTCTTGTACGGTGACTGCCGAATGACGTGACACCAATTAAGTCCATCTAATACATAATATGGTTAGAAATTTCTGACATTATCTCAGTTATCGTCCAAATTGCTGCTAGTAATTTGAGGAAAGTGATTGTATCCAGAAAAATTTGTAACTTCTGATAACGACAAAAATTTGTGCTTTATTTAGGATTTTTTGAAGTTGTGGAATTCATTTTAGTTGAATGAGATGTTTAAAGTACTTAAAACTAAAACGATTTTGTTGAATTTTATCTTTTGAAAGGGAACTGTGAGTATGAATTGGATTACCGGATGTGGAATTTAAGTCAAGTTCTAAAATGCAGTTGTAATAATGGTCCTTACAAAGATTATATTGTTAAGGACCTTGTCAACTGAAACCATAACATATTGTTCATGTATTATTCTTTTGATGAACGAATGAATGAATAAGGAAATAGATCTATAATATTTCTATAATATTTTATTAATATAGTGATATTTTAGATTTTTTTTTTAATTTCCAGTTATCAAGAGAATTAAAATACTTATTCTATGAGTAAAGCATTTTTAAATAAAAAATCGCAAGTGAAAATTGAAGCTGACTTACTTTGTTGGAGAGAATCGGACAGCCAAAAATCCTCCTGGCAGTTGAGTGATTACGTAACCCACAAAATAGGCAGTGTTAAAGTACTGAGAAGTGGCTACACTCCAGTCCAATTGTAGGTCAAACTCTGTACCATTTATAGTGCACTAAATTATATTTAATATTTTAAAATAACATTTAAAAAACGTGATATCAGATGGACCAACAAGAAAATACATGAGTTGAACGAACATACACTCACTGTCAGGTAGAAAAACTGTAGATTTCATTAAAAAACAACTCACCTCCTTAAAGAGGCCAACCCTATCGTTGTCATTGTCTTTGATGACGTAGACCATTACTATGGTGATCACCGTTCTGAAGCCAAAGAGTGTCAGAAAACCCAGAAAGGACAAAAATACAACATTGGCCCTTTTTGGACATCCCATGGCACAAGGTCACCCCAAGCTTCAAAGAAAGCATTGATTTGTAGTCAAGAAAATTTGCTCCAAGTATCACATAGTATGCATTGAAAGTATTTTATTTGTTGTGAGAACTTCACACGGTAGAAAGATTGTATAAAATCAATTTTTACAGATATATTTTCACAGTACCAGCACATCAAGTATCTCCCTTTGTTTAGACCACTTTATAAAACATTTCAATGCAATTTCTTCACTAAATGAGTTCACATTGTATCTTTGAATATACATGTATTGTGTTGCAGACAAAAATAATTTGGACCCTGACAATTATATAATTGGAATTTTATTGTTTCCGTAAAGTCTAATGTTGGAGTTATTTAGGACGGAAATTACTGATAACTGTGAGACTGCCAACAACAGATTCCAAATAAGGCTTATTTCGGCGTTGATAAATTTAAATAAATTCATGCACATTCATTTCTTTCTTGTAATTGATATTAACAATTATTTAGAATTAAAATACAAGTATGATTGTTTCTTAATCAAAAAATTTTAATTAAAAACGTGAAGATATCGAACATTGAAATTAAGATATTTTGATAAAGAATATGCATATCTCTATATACAACGTACCTTGATGTCAACGTAATCCCTGACTGTTTATCATAATAAGTATCGTTATTAAATGAATTCCCATGAAAGTGTCCGTGCCGTGTGCATTTAGCTGTACACTCACCGCTGAAACAGATGTGTAAACATATAGGGCAATGGACAATGGGATAATTATGATGCTATAAAATATATAAAATTCATATGAGCCAAATTAAAGATTACAAACATACTGTAGGACACAATGCTTCAAGACAAATTCTTGCTTTAACTGGTAAATACATGAGTTATATTATCATTGATTGTCAAAAGATGTTGAACACATATGCATTTGTATACTTCAGGAAACGGAACCAGAAGACCAAACAAACTCTCTTCTCTTTCTCTTAATTATTGAATATGGCTTTCTTTTTTTTAAATTGTATTCTACGAAAGCCCATCTAAGACATATCAAAAAATATATTTCAATTCGATATAACAAATTGTCGAATTTGAAAAAACGGATTTAATTCGTAATAACAATATTTTGAATTCCTTATTACGAATTCAAAATTTTGTTAAAACAGATAAAATTTTTTAACAAATTTCTTAAATTTGTTCTAGTCGAAAAATTAAAAAAAAAATTAAGAATTTGTTTAAATTTAATTCGTTATAACAAATTTTAGATTTCGTTTAACCGAATTTAAAATGATATACCGAATTAGATTCGTTTTAGCAAATTTGACAATTCGTTATGTCGAATTCAAAAATTAAAAAAAATAATTCTTGATGGATCCTAAATGGGCTTCCGTAATATTCTTAGTTAATTATCAAAATGGTGCATAATGTCAAATTGAGGCCAACACAGAATACACCTCAATGAATTTTCTCCGTTTTTCTTAATTGAGGGAGAGGGAAGTAAACTAGCATGTAAATATCAATGAAATATATATAAATTACTAGATTTATAATAAAAAGGGAGCAATATTTGATAAATACAGTCAGATAAACAGTATCTTTTGTACAATTCCAAATAGCAACATATTGTTCTGGATGTTAAAAAGTCATAACTTAATTATATTACGTTCTTTCAACTAAGCTTCAAATTCATGTCAGTATACAGATGGGAAAGTGTTTTGAGGCCAAATTAAAATTCGAAAATTTTATTAATTTTTATTTGTGTCATGCCTATGTGTGGAGTGTGGTATTCGGATAATATAGCTCAAATGTGGGAAAATGTAAATGTAACTAAGAACCAGATCTGTAAATGATTTAAAGCTTCATCTCAGTTCAAAATAAAAACTACAAAACTCGGCGACAGTAACGTAAATGTCGATTTCTGATATAAAATTTGATTGTCTTCTAAGGCAATCCTTGAAGTTACGACAAACAATGCAATGTTATATATTCCGTAAATTAAAGTTTTTTGAGACTACACTTTGAGAATTATCGTTATAGACACCATATGTTTGAGCAACACAACATAACTGATGCACAAAATAAATGGATTCAGTTGTCATTTTCTAGAGCATGTACACAGGTGTATTAAATGTGCATTTGACCCGAATTGACCGCTGTTTGACACGACGGACAAGCAGCGGCGAATAGGAAACAGCTTACTCACTATCAGTAAGCTGTTGTATGTTCATATTTTCAATGAGACTTTTTACCAAAAAAAAAAATCATTAGTTATCTAGCAATATAAAACATAAATATACATTTATTGACTGGGGTCGAGGGCAACATGCGTTTTGTCGGACCCAAGAACCAAACTGTTTGTTTTAGAACAGTTTGGTTCGAGGGGTTGGCAAGACGAGGAATCGATGTCAATATTATTCAACATAAAGTCATTGATTTCTAAATTATTAATCTATTGTACTACAATTTTTGCTGAGATCAAAGAAATGCCACGGACATTATTCTCCAGTAAGTCATGAGCGTCATTCAAATTAAACATGTACGGGTGACATAAATATATAATTTTAGAATGTAATACTTATTTAAACCATATCGATGTGTCGTCTTTTGCAATCAATTGTTGTACAATGTATATAGAACAGTTGATAAATGTCGAAATTATAGCTAAATTGGGCTGTTCCTCGGACCTCCCTACAAAATTTACACTCGGCGATTTTACCAACTAAAGAAATAAAATTGACATCGGATTTTTGCTATTTTATGATCATAAAAATTCATCAATATATAATACAAACAAATTTATGAATCATTAAAGGAACTTTAATCCAACAAAAGTTCAAATCGTCTACATTACGTTGCAATACGCAGCAATTACGTTGCAATTACGATATACAAGTAATTGAAGTAAACAAACAAATGACCCTCTGGTGTTAAATGGAACAGCTTAATCGCGATATGGTGACCTAAATCGTTTTTCTATAGAGGAAGCAATCAGTCGTGTTTTAATTAAAACAGCTAGTAGAATAGAAATAAAGTTCTTGTTATCGTGGATAATGCAGAATAACCTCATCGGTCTCGAAATGTTGTTGGAAACATAAAAACCCCGGCTCTCATACCGGTATTTCGATGCAAAATTTTTAGACCTCGGAAGTTATCCTGCAACATTCACGAAATCGCGAACTTTTTTCCTTAAGTATTTTTTCACAAAATTATGTAAGAGAACAACACTGTTTCTTGATGTTCAAATTGACGCTCAAGCATGAAATACCCTAGTATAATTAACAGTGAAATATATAAACAACGATAAAATTCATAAAAATATTTACATTATATTTACGTTACCATGCCGGTTTTAAATTTAGATTCGAATTAAATTCTAAAGCTTTTTGAACAGATTTGCAAGTGAAACTTTATTATGTAAAAAAAAAAAATTACGTGTACATGTATTGTTTTCTGCTGCTGGCATTTGCTTTTTTGTGGAACAGAAGTGCTGAGGTGTAAATGGAAATGTAAAAGTGAGACATTTTTACTCCTTTTTTTGGGGGGGGGGGGATCTGAAAATTGAATTGACGTAAGCCTTATATTATTCACAGGTAGAATTGTGGTTTGAAAACTAAATGTATCCATTTTAAACAATTTCTTTATTTTGTACAGTTTTAATTGCGAAGTATTTAAAGTTACCGTACCAATCGTACCGTAAGAATGAAACAAAACCGTTTTTGCTTCTAAGAGTTTGTTTGAACTGATAATATATCATCAACTTGAAAACGGTTACACACTTTAATTTTGAGTAAACATCATTACCGCACCGAACTTTTATAATAATTTATAAGAGTGCAAATTTTAAAATTTCATCATTCCGAATTTTTACCTTACAAAAGAAAACGGGACTTTAAACAATGCAATTTGAATCGCTGTTAAGCAAAGTATTTGTTAATGAAATTGCATATTTTTCGAGAAAGAATGGGTAAAATAACAATGATGTGTGCTCTTTAAATGCATTGGTACTGTAAAATTTTTATTAAATACGTAAATAAGTCTGTTATAAAAAAAAAATTACTTTGTTAAAAATCACTCTGATTCTACACACAAGTACTCTGAAACTAATATCATAAGGGTGATGGAGTTCCTCATTGACAATATATATGTAGTCTTCAGAGACCAGGTCTTCCAACAAACTGTTGGAATTTTGCTGGGAACTAAATGTGTACCTTCATTAGCCGACCTGTCTTTCTATTCCTATGAACAAAACTTTATTCAAAAACTTCTACGTGAGAAGAAGATAACACTTGCTGTGGGCTTCAACCCGACATTTAGATATATCGACGACGTACTAATCCATTAACAATAGTTACCTCAATTAATATGTCGACTCGATATATCCCAGTGAACTTGAAATAAAAGAGACCACAGAATCTGACACACCTGTTCATAGTCGAATGACCGTTCACGGTAGCTCAGTCGGTAGAGCGCTCGCTCCGTGATCGGAAGGTCGTGAGTTCGAATCTCGGCCGCGACTGACCTAAGTCGATAAAAAAAAATAGGTAGCAACTGTTCCTTCGCCATGCGCTCGGTACTTTGAAGTGAAAGTTGCGGATCTTTCGGATGAGACATTAAAAACCGAGGTCCCGTGTCACGACAGGCTTTGGCACGATAAAGATCCTTCACTGCTCGATGGCCCTGAGTGCCGAGTAAAAGTCAAAATTTGAAACCCTTCACCGGATATGGTGACGTCTCTATATGAGTGAAAAATTCTCCGATGGGACGTAAACAATATACAATCAATCAATCATATTTGAATGTTTTACTTCATCACTCCTCAACTTTCCTTGTTTATGTAGTAATATCCCGCTATCACCTGCATATGGTGTTTATATGTCCTAATTTATCGATATTCAAAAGCATGCTCCGAGTACGATGAATTTTTACACCGAGGGAGGCTACTAACAGATAATTGATGTTACAGGGATTTCAACATCCTCATTTAAAGTTAGTATTTCGTAAATTTTATGGTCGTTATAATGACCTTGTTAGCAAATATTAACCTATTACTGGGTCGTATTTTGGC